CGCAGTGTCGGCGCCGGGCGGTCTCCCCGAGAGGCTTGGCGTGCGCGAGCGGCCCAAGGCCGGGAAGCGCCGCAGTTCGGAGAGCCGGACTTTTGGCCAGTAATTCGGAGCAATCCCGAGGCTCGAGCTTCCAAACGAAGCCATGTCTTGAAGAGCGAGACCCGGAGGCACGGAGGTGAGGCCGGTGAGGCTGCGTGCTACATGGATAGGTTCTGGTGTGCATAGTTGTTGTGATGTTGTTGTTGCTTCCTTTTTTTTTGTGGAGAATAATTCCGCTAGGGGTGACGGCGGCCAGCCTTAACACTTTCAATTCCACCAGCAACAGGCCTTTCACATGCCAAACAACAAACAGTTGTTCCGTGGATTCCAACCTCATCCATTTTGTTGGATGGTGTGCAAGAAACGGTGGAATAATCAAAACAGGTTCAACGGTTCTCTTTTGTGCCTTCCGGGTCGGTTGTTGCAGCAGACTTGTGTAGGGATCTAAAGACAACGAAAGCTTCCAAAGTTTCGCCGCACCAGTAAGAATACGTTAGCTTAATGCACACGAGGCTAAGATCTTTGGACAAACAAAGTGATACCCTCAAGCCACTACCCCCATTTGACAATGGTTGAGTGTCCGGTGAAAAATTCACTTGGTGTGCCGTATGTTTCCAAAGCTTTGATATTGTTCCGCAGGTGCTCCTTTCTTGAACGAGCCTGAAGGAAACGGGTGGGGGAGTACCTGAGGTGAAAGAATCCGCTGATTGCACGAAAGCCTTCCTCCACTTTCACCAGGGGTCCCTGCATGCCCCGGGATTTTTCCCGCTTGAACTCAAGCCGGGGGTTGTGGACGCTCAGCTCCCGCGAAACGGTCTGGAATGCGTCAGTTGGCTGCGTTCCAGATGTTTCGGCGGCAGATGGTCTGGGTACCGCTAGCTTTTGGCCGGCCCACTTGGGGCTCAAGACCGGGGTTCCAGTTGTTGGTACCCTCCCCCCCAGATTAGGTCCTCTTTGGCGGTGAGAAATGTAAAGCATGCCCAGTAGGATCTGGCCTTCAGTCCTCCTTTGGGGCTACCAAAAATGGCAACTTCAAAATTTGCGCACCGTGTAGAGCCCCTTTTCTTTGGTAAGGACTGAACGCGAAAGCACAATGGGTGTTACGGCGCGGCAAACGAAGGTTTGGCGGAAGGGCCTGAACTACGAAAGCAAAGATGGTGCGATTTGGAGATTTCAAAGCGTACTCTGCGTACCGCACTGGCGCTGACAAGGCGCGATGTTCGAGCTTCTAAAACGTACCTTGTGCACTACATTTAATAAAGAGTTGCAATGCTCGAGCTGGAGCTGCCAAAGTGTTTACTTGTACTTTGTGTAGAGCGCTTGTACTTAAACATTGCAAGGCGGGAGCTGGAGCTGCCGAGGTGTGCTTCGTGAGCTACACTTGTGTTAAAAACCTTTGCCTTGCCAATGGCCAAACCAAGCTTCTCGCCAAATGCAGTTTCCCCTGATCATTGCGGGCAGGGGGGTGGCGTAAGGATAACCTCAAGCCCCCGCGCAGGCAGCCACGTGCTCAACGCGGGTTCTTTGGATACAAATTTGGCGGCACCGCTGGCCCTAGCTGCAGTGATTAGTGGGAGAATGCAGGGCACAAAAACGAGTTTTGAGGGCCCAAAGTCCAGATTTTATTTGGGCTCGACGCAGAGCATTCGAAACTGGATATTGTTCCCATATTTGGTTTCAGTCGATGTCATTGTGATTCACAAGTCTTACGCCAAACAAGACAAACCACACATAACTTCGAAATGAACTGCTTTCCAGGTAAATATACTCCATATAACTAGAAATGACTTAGAAATAGAATGGAACTGTGCAAGGGCATGGGGCGGCTTGATAATTGGCTTGGATTCCAATCTCAAAAATCAATAGGAGTGAGTTTATTTCCCAAAAAAGAAGGTTTGCTGATTTTCCCTGCAAAACGATAAGAGTAAACAACGATCACAGGGCTGCTACAGGCACGTTGAAGCTGCTCTTATGCTGAACACTTTCAGTTTTTGACGTTGAGCTGGAGCTGCCAATTGCTTACTACAGGTGGTTGAGATTCAAGTTTCAAGATTCTGGAAACTTATGTCCGGGGCAGCTTGGATCTTGAATTCCATTCACCCCAAGGTAGCTTCAAGATTCTGATAAAAGATTTCTGGGCAATCTTGAATCTCAAAGCAAGGACAAATTGCATATAGGTAGGTTTGGCGAGGGGGAGTGTGAATTTCTGACTACACATATACGGCTGTGAATTTCAATAGAGAACCACTGCAAAAGTGTTTCGTGGACAAGAATCCCCACCTAAATGATGTCTACCAAAGGGTCCCGAAATCAAATTTGTACTCATATAGATATACTACGATAGGTATATAATATCTATACATTATTGAACAAACAATGTTACCTATGTACGCGCAGCGCTTTTGCAGCGGTACCTGGGCCCCGGCAGAGGGCCGGCGGCGTGGCGACCACCTCCGTGAGAGGGGCGTGTTACCTGCCGCTTTTGGGGCCGAGCTGCAAGTCCGCTTCGAGCATTCCCTAAGATATGGGTCTGTTTTTTTTGAGGGTGGGTAAGTATGGGGTACATTGTGCTGGATTTTGTCCAAACATGTTCTGCATTTTAGGGTAGGCTATGGAACAGAATCAGAAGTATCATTTTCTGACGCCAGATGCGGGCCATGCAAAGGTCATGCCGCCCTAGGGTTCGGGACTCGCTTCAAAAGATCAAGCTACCGCCTGCGCATTTGGGTGTGTGGTGACCTCATGTTGCAATTTCAAGGGTTGTTCCAGGAGTGGTGCAACCAAAGCGACTAAGACGGACTTGCAGCATGGCGAGGGAACAGACAGTCCTACCGAAGATGTTCAGACGGGTCGCGCGTTTTGACACGCCCATTTTCGCGTCTTTGCTGCCGTGTTCAGAAGTGCACATCAATCATGCAAGGGTAGCTAGTGAGATGACAGTCCGTTGGGGCACCTCAGGGTGTTGTGCGGTTTTCCTTTCACCAGGCAAATCAGGAGGTTTGAGTGCTCACGTGCGGACATAGATTGAACGAGCGAGTTAGAAAGTGAGCGGCTTGTGCAAATTGGCTGCATGTGTCTTTCATTGCATTTATCCTGTGCCAAAAGCTTCTTAAGATGGAGCCCACTTCCCCCAAAGAGATACTAAACCCTACTCGACCCTACTAGACCCTATGAACAGCCTCGCCTTGTTTCCTTTGGGCCCTGAGATTGGGTCTCCTTCTGATTTCCGATTTAAGGTTGACCAAATACGAGCCAGAGTCTGGAGACATTCTTTAGGTGTGCCTTGGCCAAAACTTGTGCGAGTATCTATGCGTGGCAGAAAATAGGCGAGTTTCATCTTGCCACTTGGAATCACAAAGCGGTAAGTAATTAGTCGCACAAGCTCCCCGAGTTTCTAGACTCTGTACCTTTTGGAAAAACCAGTGTTGCTGCACGCAACGTTTCTGGACTTTTTTTCTTTTTTTTCTTTTCAGAAACCATAGTAGTGGCAAACCACTACTTTTGTTCGGATCCACTCACAACCATGGATCGGGTGGGATATTGATTGAAACTAGTCGACCACCTTCGCTCCAGAAAGGGGAAGAGAGGACTACAGTGAATTTTCCACCTCTTCGTTGGGTTCGCCTCTAAGCTTGGTGCTTCCTATCCCCTGAACTTTTCAGCTTTGGGCCTATCGGGGATCTCCATTTACGCCACTAAAAGTCCGGGGGATCTGAGGAGAGCCCAGTAAACATGAAACAAACTCATCCCCTTTTCCACCGTTCGTGATTGGGAATGGTTTTTTTCTTCTTCTTTTTCTCTCCGTCCTGAGCCTTTGCTTTGGCCTTTGGTTTCCATCTGGGTCGATTTGAGGTTGGACCTGGTGGTTTTATCCAAGTCCTTTGGGCGCAGGGGTGCCACCTGGGGGGGTTCGTGCTTGGATCGCCTGAGAAGCCTTTGGAACTCCAGGAAGCTCCACGTCAGTTAGATTTGAAGAGTGCTTCATGGACGGGACTCTTGAAAAGCCCTTTGTTTAGTCACCTTTTGGAAAGAACGCGTTGGCCCACTTGCCGGCCAAGTCTCATTTTGCATGTGGTCGCAGAGCGCTAAACAGCCTGTATTGTTTGATTTCCCCAAAAGAAAGCCGAGAAGGGGTGGGGCAAGCTGTTGCTTACAAAAAGTATTTTCCAGGCATCCTATTTTACACACTTGGCTCAGTGTGACCCAAGCGCACACGAGGACCTTGCTATGAATGAACATCAGAAATCCCCCTCAAAAGTGATTCTTGGACATAAAGCCGCACGTAAATGTCCACCAAAGAATGCTTTGTGTCCAGTTTATGCACTATAGTCGGGAGGGGCAGAACCTGTAAACCTTGTCATGTCCATGTACATCTCCACCAAAGGGTCCATTTCCACTTGAAGTTCATCCCCACCTCATATGTATACAGAGTAATTGGTTTGGGTTGTTGTGCTCATGCAACGACCTGAATCTCCTTGCGGTTTGTTGCGCCAACGCGTCATTTGATTCCTTGAGCTTCATTCCCACCTGGTTTCCTTACTATCAGTATGGTTCTCAAAGTTCTCAAGGGCCCTCCCAATATGGGCCCCCCAATCCCAATAGGGGCTAATAGCGACCCATAAGGCCTATTAGGGGCTAGAGAGGGTTCCTTTTTTTGGGCGCCCTCTCTTTGGGTCTGTGGGTCTTTGGGTCTTTGGGGGGGCCTGACAACCATGAAAAATTCCTCACTTCCCCAGTTCTTGGCCTTGCATGTTGGGAAGAACATGTTGGTGGAAAGCAACAAGTTTGGCCGTCCCGGCTTGCTCGGAAAGTCATCTCAAGCCATGTGTTTGGGGTCAGTACAAATGAGTGCCTTACCAGCTGATTAAAAATCAGGATCCCCAGCACAAAGCCAAGAATTGGTGAGCCCAAAGACCTGGTCTCATGGGGCCGAATCCCTCTCCCCCAGCCCCAATGGTCAGGTCTTGGTTTGCTTGTCGCTGCTGGACTGCCTGGTAGCTTGCGTGAACACCGCGGGCGTGGTACCCGGCGAGTTCCGGCTGTGCCGCCTGCTGAGGCCGTTGTTTTTCTTCAGCCGCAAGTTGGCCGGCCGAACAAATGTGTTCGCCTTTCCTTCCATGATTGTTGGAGGGTATTCCTTCCATGATTGTTGGAGGGAGGGTATTCCTTCCCCATTTTCTTCTGGGATCCTTCTGTTCAAAAAGTAGGTCAACACCCTGAAAAAACTAAAGATGGATGAAGAGAATTAGGAATCAACCCTTAGATTGTGGAGTTCCCGGGCTTCAGCTTCTTCTTTATGTTGGCCAACCCAGGAATGAGGTTCGCAGATTGTGGGAACCAAGCCGCTAGTTGATGTGGATTCACATGGGGGGTTCCTGTAGTGGGAATCCGGACCACTTTTGTGGGGCCCGACACCCCCCCCGCCTATTAGTGGGACAGTGGGACGGGTTTAGCACTGCGGGTTCACATTTAGCAGCAGCAGGTTCTTTGTCGCAGATCGTTGAGCATACGGTTAGCTAATTATAGTGCTCAGATGTGCTCAGCATGTGACCATACTTTTTGTGGGGTATCTTAGGCTTGGGCCAACCAAAGGGCAAGGTTAATGTCTTTTTTTGAGGGTGCGGTACCCCTTTGTTGGTGGTTTTTAAAGGGAAACCAAAAGGAAAGCCCACCATCTTTGGGGGTCCAAAAGGCACATACACAAATGAGCGGGTTGGAGAGAAATTGCGAAAGCTTATTGTGTGGTGCCATCTAACCAGCCGCACTTGTCAGCCGGTTCGATCTTGTGGCTCAGCTCAGCTGGTGATTCATGTGAACGGAACTGGGTGCACATCCATTTATTTGCTTTCCTCTAACAGCTGGCTTGGCTTGGTTTAGGCATTAGCGCTGGTTTCGCATGTACCCTCAACAAGAACTCAGGTTTCACTTCCCCAAAACCAGGGGTTGACCGGAAAATTTTGCATGGCCAGACTGGACTTTTTACCCTGGGTGTTCTTCACTTGCCCCTTTTCGCCCGTGAAGTGTTGCATTTTGTGCATCGAATCCATTCGCGAAGGCTTCGTCTCGATTTGCAGGTTTTTGGCTGAACATGAAACTTTTGCTCCAACCTGATGTTGATGCCTCTTAGGTACGCAGAATCCATAACTGGAAAGACTATTAAATCTGTTTGACCATTTTCGGGGGGAGGGATTGTTTTTTTGTTGGTGTTTCAAATCTGATTTCAACCGCAGCCCCGCCAAGCAATGACCTTGCAAGGCCCGTGATTTTTCTGACGGTGAGCGGCTCGGAATAAGAGGCCAAAGCCAATGGGCTGGGGAGAACATGTCTAAGTCCAAGCGCGTTTTGTTGACCTCCAGTTCCTCCCCCGCAATTTGCTGACCTTCGTTTGTCCATGACGCCCCAAACGCTTGGTTGGGTCCTCGCCCAATCGCACTCAACTGAGCCTTTGTTACGATATAGTCAGGCTTCCAAAAGGCTAGCCTTTGAGTTATTGTTCACTCACGGCTGACTGCATACGTTCTTACCTCAAGCCATTTGCCTGGTGCCTTGAAGTGGTGAACGGTTTTTCTGTAGTCAAGCCGTTTACCGTGTAGAAGTTCCTACCAGAACATCATGTGGCTCATTGATTCATGCCGTTGATACTCTGGCCCAAAGCTTACTCTTGACCACTGCCCACTTCTTCACCTGTCACGTGTTTCCCTTGTATGGTGGCGTGGTCCTTGTCGAGACAGAATTCATTTTTCTTCCTGGGTGATTGGTCTACTGCTTCTCGTACCCATCCGCAAACGTCGAACCTCACGGGCGGGGTCCTGGAATACCATTCCTTGACCATTTTCCTAGCTTCCATGTCAACAACCGGAGGGGAAACTGCTTTGGCTTCTTGTTTTTCTTTCTTTCTGCTTGAAGGGGGAAGGTTGGGGTCATGCTCAAAAGGTATGCTGGACAGTTCTTGGACAAATCCCGAGGTCAAGCTCTCAATTTCCTTTCGCGGGTAGTGGGTGCTTCTCAAAATTGGGGAGCCCGGAAGGGGTGGCGTCCTCTTGCTCAGTTGCCTCTGGATACAGAAACAAAAAGGTGATCACCTTTGAGGGCCATGACTACAAATGGAGCAAAAAGGTCAAAAGGTGGGCCGTGGGCAAGTGAGTAACCAGCCAGCCAAACAAGGTCAAGCAGCAAGCCAAACAGCCAACAACCAACCAAACATACTTTAAATCTACGTTTTTGTCCATATCTGAAAGTCTGGGACATAACCTCAAATGTTGATCCCTAGCCCAAATGTTGGCCTGGACGCCGTTCAGACTATAGTCCCTATGTTGAACTTAAACCTAACATCAGATTGGAGGAGACGCCAGCTTTGTTCAGAGGGGAGGGATAGATTTCTGCCAACATAGTTCAGCCAGGCTCACAACCAAACATCAGCCCAACAGGGCTGCTGTTGGCGAACCGGGCTCGCTCCACCACCCCCCCCCCCCCCCCCGGGAGAAAAAAAAAGCACAGGCCGTTGGGACTGAGACGTATCTATGGGGCTCCAGCCCCAAAAAGATCCAGGAATCCACCGGGGTCCGGCTGGGGCAACTGGGGGGCCACGCCACATTCGAACAGAAACATGGAAACAGAAAGGCAAAGCAGTTCACCTCAAAGGTCGTTGCCATGAAGCTAGGGATTCCTTTCACAAGGGGTCCGAAGTATGCTCAAAGGGTATGCTGGAAAAGTTCTTGGACGTTGATCCCTTTTGAACCCCTTAAGGCCTTATTAAGCTTAAGGGCTTATCCTTGGCTTATCCTAGGGACAGCCCTAGGACAATCCCCCCCCAGGGGTCCATGACCATTTGGCTTCATTGCGCCGGCTGGCTTTGGCACGATATCCCAGGCAAAGACCTGCAGAGTACTCTCGGTCGGCTCTGGCGCTCCTGCAAGAGCTTCTGGCAAGTTCTTGCGGCGCTCGGGGCGCCTTGCACGACCCGCCCCCTTTCAAGGAATGCAGTTTTTAGAATAACATACAAACGTGTATGTATGTGTATATTCTGTATGCCTGCATCTTCCAAATGTGCATAATTTCAGCAGTGTCGGGCACAACCATCTTATAATTTGAAACAGCGTATTTTGATACAAGCTGCGCTTTTCCTCTTTTCAGCATCGGGGTTCATATTTGTGGTCCTGTGGGGCTTGTTCTTCGTGCTAGTATGTTGGTTACAATTTGCTGTTCGGACGTGCTGCACTTGACTTCGCAGCATACGAAAACTTTGTTTTTTCTAGTGAAGGTCGCAATCATGTCAAGCAGAACTCGCAGTGGGAGTGGTAAGATCTTCAATGGTTTCAGACGTCACACAACGTCAAGTGTTGTTTGCTAAGCTCCTGAGACCATTTGTGCCGCATGTTTGGCGTGACAAGCCTTCGACACTTCACAGGGGCAGTAATTAGTTGCATAGTGGTTAAAGGCACGCGCTTTCTGAAAGGAGGAAAGATGGGGGAACCAAAGCAACACACAAAAATGTGTTGCAATGAAATTGCCACTTCAGCAGTTGCTGCCGCGTGGCTGCTGGATTTCCTTGCCTTGTGCTGCACAGACCTGCAAAGCGTCAATTTCTGAGTTGCAACGGGGCTTCCCACTGCAGCTCTTGAAGAAACAGACAACTGCAACGTCCAAATTTGCAAAAGCGAAACGGCGATAATTTGCAGCAACAGCACTTTTTGGCGAACCGAATTCATACCGCTTGCCGGTTCAGTTCACACGCTGTTCTGGTGCAATTTGTTGCAAGGGTTGCCCTTGGAAGTAAATGTTGCTGTTGTCTGGACCTGTGGTCATTGTGTTGGCTACAGCCACTTTTGACAAGAATATGAGTAAGCAAACTCAAACAAATCATTAAACTTGAATTCGTCCTTGCTGATGGTGGCAGTGTCTGACGCTAATACGCTGTGATGCGTTTTGTGTTTGTGATGTGCTGAGGGGATGCGAGGGGGGATTGCGGCTTGTAACAAAAAACGTGAGGGGCCTACGCTACAAGGCTCAGAAGTCCGTCTGGGCGCGCGCTTCTTGATCAGCGTGCAACAAAATTGCATATGCTGCAAATTGGCGCATGCTTGGGATTCTCGCGAGACATGTTGGTTCCAGACCTTTCGGGGCTCTTGAACGCATTATTAGATGCAAATCCTGCGCGCGTGCTTCAACAAAGCAACCGGCTTTGCCCTGGGATGCGCAGCACTTGCGCCGCAGAGCTTTAGGCTGCGGAGCGGGCGGAGCTGGCCCGAAGCAGCGCTCTGCTTCGCCACCTGCAAGGCGGTGAGGCATGGTCAATAACCAGTCGGGCCAGTTTGGATTGTAGCTCATACTCTTCACTGATGAGCCGCGGCCCTGGTAGAATCAAGCCTCGGCGGGTATTGGGCGGAGGTCATTTGGCGTTGAAACGATGAGCGCGTGAATTGTTGGGAGAGATTTTACATGTTTGCAATGCCCAGCTAGGCCCAAACTGCAGAATCTTGACTCTCTGTCTCTACGCAGAGAGAGAGTTCCAACCCCGCTTGGCCCCCGCGGCAGGTTTGGTGGACAACCCTCACACGGCAAGGATCGGGCGCTTAAATGGTGTTCTTCCTCCGGTTTGCTTTTGGAACCAGGCCCCGGATGTCTGCCGAAGATGGCCCTCCCTCGCAGCTGAGGTTCTCTTCTCGCCGTGCAGGCAGTTGTGGCAGAGCTGGACGGCTGGAAGCCCAGTCAAGCGCTAACAAGCGGAGGGTGGTTGGGTTGGGTTGTTTTTTGGCGGCTGTTGTTAAGCATTATTCGCGGAGACAATGCCCCTCCAGCAGCATCCAAAGATGACTAATCTGAAGCATCCTCTTGACTCTACTGAGACGGGGCACTACACAATGTACGTCGCGAACAAGGGTTACAGCGGGCTGAGATGGGGGGCCCCACCCCTTGTTGCCAGGAAAGGCGCCCGTATTAAAGCCAAGGGAACCAAGACACACACACACACACACACACACTTGGAAAAACACAGGGAAAGAGACACATTTGATTGTGGGGAAACGGAGCCATCATGGGCGCTTGCGCAGGCGGCCAAAGTGGGATAAGTGGTGCGCATCCGCGTGCTTGCGCTGCAGCGTGCGAAGCTGCCGCGAACTTTGTTGCATCGAGCAGTCCTGTTTGAAAAGAAGAGGTGAGAAAGATCACGAAACAGATGTCGAAATGCAAACTTTCGCAGTTAGCTTGAACTCTCTCTTAACACATGTTGCCCGGCAGAGAGCGGACAGAGTCTCATGTTCAATTTGGACAACTGTCATGAAAAGATTGCAGTTCTTCCACATCCCTCCAAGAAAGGATCGCGTTTGTCACCTTCAGCCCACTGCGCCAGACGGAGAAACCCGCTGTCAACCACGCCCGCAACTTTCCCCCAAAAAAGGGAGGCGCGCTAAAAACACACTTGATAGGCCTGACCTCTCTCTCTCTCTCTCTCGATTGCACTGGCTAGCCCGCAAACCCACCCCCCTTGCTTCTCCCCCATTTGCAGGCTCAATGCCCACCTCCTCAAACGCAACAAGCCCGAGTTGAGCAATTGAAATTGTGTCTCCACCAAATCGCACCCACAGCATCCACTGGCGAGCGCCAGTTACGCGCGTATAAGCATATGCGCACACCCTTTCACCTTGGCGCGCGAAATGGAGGGGAGCCAACAAAAATCATGGACCGCCCGGCGGAAGCAACGCGAGATGGAAGGTCACCCTGTGCCGGAGCCCCCAGTGCCAAACCTGACGTGTGGCTGTGCCTCCAACGGGCCGCATCAGCGCGATTAGTTTACCACTGCCAAAGTGACCTTCGAATCGCTGGCGCGGGGTGCAATCACACCAGCTTCCGAGCAGCTCCTTCTAAACAACTCAAAGGATGCGCCCAAACACGTCCCGACATCCTGCTGAAGCCGGCCCTCACCTGCAAAGACCAACATGTGATGATCATCTCAATGGATTTTGTTGACCTGATTGGAATGAAGTGCAATCACAGAGCTCAAAACTTTTGTAGTGTTTTCTGTCCACACAGGCCATTTCTTGGAATAGGCTGTCCATTGCAGGGCTAAGGCGTGGCCCAAATTGAGCTTGAGGGGGTGGATCAACGTTTGCAGCCGCGGTCTTGCACTGTGGCGCTGGGCAGTAGGCAAGGTTTGGGGGGAAACGGCAAGTTTTGGCTGAAACGGCTGAAATTTGTTGAAACGGCACTAAACTCCGCAGTTTGGCCAAACAGGCAGGTGTATAAATCTATTTATATATATATATATATAAATACGTGAGGGTGTGCGTTTGAATGGATACATGTCTATATCTGTATATATAGGCATATACATAATGCATTTGTTGTGAATGTAAATTTGTACATGTATTGTGTATGTGTTTGTGTTTGCGTGTGTTGGGAGGGTCCCCCTGCTTCTTTGATCGTGGTTTAATAAAGGAACACAGAAGCAAAGCCGAATTCGACTTTCAGGGTTTGATTGCTTTGACGCAGTGGAAGTGAATGTTCAGCCCGGATTTGTTCCAACCTGGTGGGCAAATTGGAGGTGTATCTCCCCAAACGCATCCGCATGTGGAGGCTCCCCTCGTAAATCTTAACTAGGACACCTTTTATGGATCAACTGAGCAGGTGTTGTTATGCTAGGTCGCTATTTCTTCCCGCATCCGCACGGCCGTTCATATGTGGTTTGATTTGTCCTTGGCGAAATGAATTGTCATGTTTATACTTGCTTCTTTTAGGGAACCAGCGCCCGTGCGTGTTTGGGCAAAGACATTGGATTGCGCAACCTGGGGCAAGCCCACGCGGGGTGGAACAGCGCCACATTGATGATTTGATGCGGTGTTTTCTTTGTTTCTGTTGTTTGCCCACTTGCCGAGTGCCGGCTTAAGCCACCAAGGCGCGGCCAGAGACATCCAAACGTGCACCATGGTAAGGGATCAAGTGCCCAAAGGCCGCAAACAGCATTGTTGGTTTATTTGACCAAATGCAACCGACAAACATATTCTTGAGTTAACATTCTGAGAAACAAACTGGTTTGTAGCAGGGTCAGAAAGACCATATAATTGTGCTAGAGATGGGCATCAAGCTTTTTAGCAGGGAACCTACACAACCATCATGGTGGATTTCTTTTCTAAGGCGATCATGGCCATAGCCCGCAGGAGTTTGGACCAGCACCTGACATTGTTTGGGTGATCCAACATGTGTCCTAGCAAATGGTTTCACCTTGCATTGGACCCCACCAGACGGTGACGGGTCCCCCAAATTGCGAGGTGTGCGTGCTCTTCTTCATGTGGATGGCCATCGTGGTCTTCGCAAGAAGTGATGAAGGCATCGGCATCGAGCCCTTCGGGGTATGGGGAGGGTGCGTGTTCATCAAGCACACCCCCCTTGCAGTGTCTTTGGCAGAGGCATGCAATGCCAGGCGTTCAGCGTGGATCAACCAACTTGGCATCCATGTATGAGTCTTAGGTTCTGCTTCGATGCAAGAGAAGCTAGAGTGGTGGCAAACACTTCACTTACGGCTTGAATCGGGGGCTTCTCCTAGGCATACACATTATACCCACCCCACACGGCCCATCCGATGCCATGCCCCCCGTTGGGGCGCGGGGCCCTGTCGAGGCCTGGAGCATTTCAAAGATTGGCCCGACGCACTCGCCTCCCTGCGCCTCGGATTCGCGAGGAACAAAAGGACTCACCAGGTCCCCTAAAAATGGAATTGGGTGAGGGGGTGATCTCTGGAGATCTCCATTTATGGTTCCATTGTCGCGTCTGTGGGGAAGACTAGACAAATGGAATTGGGGACCCCCGATTCCCCTCCCCCTAGAAGGGTTCAAGAATCTCATGATGGTTTCCTAGGGGCGCATGTCCAGTTAAGTTGTACTCTATCCATCCTTAGCAGAAGCCCTCTAACTGTTCAAGTTGTCCTGACTGGCATGATATGAGCAAACTTTCGAACGTATGGAACCACAGACAGCCGCTCTTTAAAGGGAATTCAAAAGGGGGCAGACCAATTAGAGTGGCACACAGAAAGTTCAACAAGTGCTACTGCTTAGATCCCCCACAAAATGGAACTGGCCCTTAAAACCAAAAAACATAAACCAATTTTCATTTCCAGGGCAACCAGAGGGTCGAAGTGCCAAGTCTTCGGCAGCTGCAACCCAACCGATTACTTTTCAACCGTCATGAAAGTGGAGAGGTTGCATTTTCAAGAGGATGCTGGTCCACTTTCTGGATTGGGGTTTCTTCATAGGATGCAAAGCCCTGGCAAAACCCCTGGCCCCAATTTCATCCAAACAAGGGTCTTGTTTTGGGGCAGCAGGGCGAGGTCAGGGTCAGGCGAGGGCTCGGCTCCTATGATCATTGCCGCGCACGCATTTTTTGGTAGATTCTTTTTCTGCCCGTGTGAGGCTGCGAAACTGCTTACTAACATGCCAAGGGTTAAAAAAGTACTCAGGCTGAAGCTGACACGGTTGCACCTCCCAATCTCACAGGTTGGTGCTTCCAGTCGCCTCAGAGGGCGGATCTTTGGACTTTAGTCTTTTTGGAAGCAGCGGGGGGTTTGCCTCTGAACCCACAAACATTTAAACACTTGTTGCAGAGGGGTGAATAGCAGCCAACTTATTGTGTCAGACTTTTCCGCACCAATGCACTCAAGATAGAAAATGGTTAAGCGCAAACAATGTACCAAGGCCACCGGTTGCAAACACAATGCGGGCTATTCCCGGGAGATCTTGTGCCGGCGGAATCGGTTGCTCAGTTGGTTGGGCAAAACTGAGGCCTTCTTTTTTGCTTAGTATGTTGGGGTAGACTAGACATAGACCATAATTTGAACTTGTTTTTGGCGTAGTGGTGTTTTCCATGATGGTACAAGGATGGTTCTTTAAGTGGCACGGCGTGTGGTTGTATCCGCGCTAAGGGTTGTTTTTGGTGCGAGCTTGTGTGCATCTTCAGCTCAGGTGGATACTTTTCACCACGGCAAACTTCCCGGATGTGATGATGCCGTCCTACAGCGATGAGCGCGAGTCCTTTTTCTTCTTCTTTTTGCATCTTGGTATTGACGAAAGGGGTGTACTTGCAGCTCACAATCTGACTCTAGCGTCCTATTGTCCTCGCAGGAGTTGCCCACTGCCAACCGGGGTTTCGCCGAGAAGTGGGAGAGATCCGTTCAGGTTGACATGCTCACCGGTAGGCAGGCTCCTGCGGGAGAGATTGAGTAAAGGAGGAGTCAGAAAAGGTCCAAAACGGGCAAATTTGGACAATCCTCATATACTTAGTAAGTAGGTTCCAACCATGGTTACAAGGGGACCAACCCCAGCCACCCAAGTCAGAATCATGATAAGGTGTAACCTACTTGCCAAGTTGGTTGAACATCCAAGTTGAGTCAAGGCTGCCAACAGGTTTTCGATTTATGATCAGTTCCTTTCACCAAGTCAAGCCTGGAACATCAGGATCGCTCTCATGAATACCACTTCCTGCTTGCGCATCGTTTTTGATTGTCCTAGGAAAACCCCATGTTTATGCGGGGATCCTATTTCTGCTTCCGCATGGACATTCTAAGGGACTAAACGTACAGTCACAACCAGAGTTGGGAGCGGCGACCTTTGTAGTTTTGTTGTTGTATTGTCTCGTTTGTTTGGGCACGATCTTTAACACCAGGTTTCTGATTGAGACTGATTTGATACCCACATTCCTCGGTTTGGCTGCAGATATTTAGCTCTTCGGTTGGTAGGTGGAATCGACTTTCTGCTCCAAAGTCTGGCCGCGCACGGCCAGAAAACTGTTGGCTTTGGGTTGCCACGTTTTTGTGATACCAAGCAAAGCCCTTTCGAAATGATAGAGTAGCCTTTGGGATGGGAATCCTACTATTCCTATCGCGGAAAAGGTTGTTCCACCATCATTCCCATCCCACGAGGTATTTGGTGGTATGCCTCTACCTGCTGAACAACATCTTGCTTGCGTCAGTGTACAACGCTTACAAGGACCAGATTCCAAATTTCAACGGAAGCTGGCACTTGCCTTTCCCCGAAGGTTGCTGTGCCCCAGCCACATACTCCTTTTATACTATACTGGGGTACGCCTGTGTGGTGCAAGTGCCCTAGCTTCCCTTGACCTTAGGCATGCATGGTCCTGTGGCAGGGTTGGGAGGCATAATTGCAGTTTGGTGCGGACTAGTTTTTTCTAGTCGACATTTTGTAGCATGGGCATCTTCAATGTATATCTCACTTGGAGCTGACCCATGTAGGCCCTGACCCATGTTGCCATAGCACCCATAGGCTCGGCCCGCTTTAAGAGTACTATGTCCCTTCAGCCTCGGGTGTAAGTCGAGGGCGCTCATCAATGGGTTCGACAAGGTTGCTAGCTGTCAGCTCAGGCGATCGACGTGTTGAGCGGATGCTTTTTTGAGGTGTAGCTGAAACAGCTTCTTGTGGTGAGTTCCCCTTCAGGTGATATCAGGGGGCACAGAAGGACTTGTCAATTGTTACTTCATGATAAGTCCACTGCGTGGGAGAGATCCAGCCACCCCTTTGAGCTGGACCCATCCTTACAGGCAGCCTTCACCAGTTCTTCGGCCCAGTTGGCGAAGCGGGTTCCGATGGCTTGCAGAGGCAAAGGTAGCCTCCCTCCGGGGATCCTTTCACAAGCTCGCAAATAGGTCGCCAATCAAAAGACTGCAGCACCTCTGAAAGCGGGGGCAACTGTGCACCTCCATGTTTGTGATAGGGTTTCAACCACCTGAGTTATGTTTTTTGTGAAAAACCAACTTCAACGGTCTCTTCAATCCTTGAAAAGTCGAGTTTGTGGTTTCGTGAATGCCACTTTGCAGAAAACCTTCAGCCAAAGGAAAATCCCAGCGGTGTCCCTTACCGTTGACCCCAAATTGAATCAACCCGGATTATCAATATGGGGCCCCTTCAAAAGTGATGATTCCCCACTAAACCCAGGGACATCTCCATATATGGGGGTTATAAATATGGGGTCAACATGAAGCTGCCCGTAGGAGCAGCTGAAGGCACAGCTCAAGAAGTACTTCGAGCAGTGCCTCGGGCGAAAAGACATGTTGACTTCGGATTACTCCGAAGGACCGGGTGGCTCCCTTTTGGTAAGTTTTTTTTTTTTTTTTTTTTTTTGTTTTTTTTTTTTTTTTTTCCGGGGTTCCTTTGACTAGCAAGGTTTGCATCAATTGTTTGTTACCCGAACCATCCACTGACGCCTCGTTCATGGATACATCAGTTTACCTTCAAAAGGATCACCCTGAATTGCTAGATTACCCCTAAAGGGTTATGGAACTCAGCTCTCCGTTGATATCGTTTTCTATACTCAGGTTGACTGAAGAAGCAGAACCAGAATGCCAAGCACTCATTCACCTGGCGCCTGACGTATGTTTTGCATTTCAAGGTTCGCCACATTTATTTTTTATTTATTTGTTTTAACGGGGGGACCCGGCCTCGGCTTTAAAAGGAAAACCCCTTGGCATTTTGGGTGGCTCCCCCGTTTCAGGACAACCCCAAATATGATTGCTGGGGAGGGCATTTGGTGGCAAGATGACCGTTGCTTCACCTTCGGCGTTTCCTCCCATCCCCTATAGGGTTGGATCTTTAACCTTTTATCTCTTTGGGAGACTGCGTGTAGAAATGGCTGTGGCTAAAAAAACCGGTACCAAAATGGAACCCTGGTAAGTGGAAACATGGACCAACACCTGCGTAACCCCTCCTGTTTAATTTTGAGCCACACCCATGTATATATATATATATATATGTAGGAGTCAAGATCGACCCTGGCCCCTTCACATGAGTAAGCCCAACCGATTTTCAGCATTCCTAGAACAAACTGTTTGCATCTTCTCGAAGCCTCCCTGTTCAAGGTTGCTCCCATTCGACGCCAGTGACACTATTGGGTAGAATTCAACATGTGCCCTTTCCGGCAGGGTAGTTACGCCCCCTGGCCCCCCCCCATTTTCTTGCAACCTGACCCTTTCTGGTTGGTTGGTGCCAGGTTCAGTGGATCAAGTTACTACAACCTAGTTGCGGCGAGGAAAGCTCGGCTCAAGCCCGCTTCTCCCTCCGGCCCGCGGAGACCTGCACCCAACGAAACTGGGGTCTCCTCCTAAAACGATTTGCATTTTGGGGTACACGAAATATCAACCTTAATCTGAATTGCTGCAAACCGCTAACCCCTCTGGCGGAGGAAAGCGGAGTCCATCCAGCAAGCCTTCGAGCTCTTGAGCGCCGCCAACGTGGTCACGGAGGAGAGGCGCGAGTCTCCGACTCGGTCGCGCAAGACAAGCGCTAGAAGCTTGGACTGTGCCCTTAATGATCAGAATGTAGCGTTCAACTCAAAGCAACTCGATGTGTCCCTTTTTGTTAAGTGTCAAGCAACGTTTTGTGGGCCAAATGTCAAGAGATGATTGATTGAAGGGGAAACACAGGGTATCCCACAGTAGACATGTTCCATTTCACTGGCTACGGAAATTCAAGCAACAGAGACTACACAGTCAATTGCAGGTTCAACTAGAAGGCAGAGAGAGAGAAATAGAGAGAGAAAAAGAAAGAGAGAGAGAGAGAGAGAGAATATAGAACCATTCCCTGCATGTGCGTACCGTAAACGGCATTCCCAAACCAAAACGGGGGAACGACCCATCTACTTTCGCCCAACAGTTTTGCTTCACTTGGGCGAAGAGTTTGTCAGCTTGGTGGTTTGGGGATTTGAACCTCTGGATGGTAGAGCAAACCTCCCCCTAACCTCTAAACCACCAAGCCAAACCGCCAATTAGTGGAAGCTGAATTTGATTTGTTACTGGCTTTTGGGGGCTTGTTGGAAGCTGGGTGGTCAGCTTGCTTTGCAGCTTTGCACGATTGACGAAGCCACAGCTGAAAGGAGCAATGTCTCCTTCTATTTTTTGGTTTTACTGCGTAAGGTTGGCTAAATATGAACCAACCCCAGGGTTGGGCGCAGATGTCCAACGGTTGCGAAACGCTTGGAACGCTGAATTTGGGTGTTAAACGAAACGGTTGGGACTTTGGAAAGCAATTCCACTCAGGAAGCAAGTTGGCCATGAGCGACCCCGTCCAGGTGATTCGTTGCCTATATACCCTTTGCAGATTGACATGGAGCCCAAAAGAAAACACTATTTGTAGAGGAACCTCCTTTGGGGACAGTCCCCAACTTTCTGTTTGGACACATTGGCTAAGTGTCCTTCGTTCGTTAAGTCTTTGCGGCCTTTAACTTTGTGTTTTGGGTATCACCTGTGTGTTAGGAGCTTAAAAAGATATTCAACGGTCAACACATTATTTTGCTTGGAGCTTACTCAGGCTCGCCATGGCTTCTTACGTTGCTTTCCTAATAGACCATGACCACGACTTTTGACTCTTGCCCACAGCTTGTGAACTTCAAACATGTTTTCCGGACTTCCAGACTCACGTGCTATGACCCAACTTTTGGCTTCTCACTTTGCAGTTGCATGTCTGTGGTAAATAAATACAACACAAAAACTATCGTTTGGGTCACACTTGGGGGGGGCAATCCCCCCTGAGGAGGCGAGTAATTGGAGCATGGCCCGCTGGCACATTGCAGGTGGGTGGACTTCTTTACAGCCTACTGCCAGCTCCTTGGCTGTGGCCCGTTTCAGTGATAAGACCGACCTGAAATGGGGTAACCGCAAAATACCCACCCACAAGCACAGAAGCACATGCACCACCCCACACACGCACACATTTGATGCTTTGCATTTTGGCGTTCACTAAATATGGGCCAGAATCAAACGCATGATTTTGGCTAGAGGCAACAGTTGAGCCAGTTTGGGCTTTGAATTTGACATACACCACCCCCCACACACACACAAACACGCAGATACATGCCCATTTTGCAGTGTAAGGCTCAGCAAGAATCAAACAGATGTTTTTGTGCTGGGGGCAAGAGCTGAGCTAGTTCGGGCTTTGAATGTCAATAGGGCTCCCTTCAACACAGGGCGTTTCGTTTTTTTTTTTGTACATAATGTCCATTGAAGGGTCCCTAGTTAGAGCTAACACCGAATTGTCTAAGGGCAAAACTGCACACCGCCCAGAACCCTACAGAGCAAAACCTCAAGCAAATCTTGGACACAGCCGAATAACGCTAAGTCCGGGAACCAGGTTTTGGCTTGACTGCATGAATCCCTCTTGCAACCCATTTTGCTCGGGTCAGACAATTGCATCTGCCAAACACATGACAAATGTTCGCCTAATTTCAGGCCTGCTGTCCAGGGCCCCTTGCCAGCAGCACTCCCCCATGTTCCCCTGCCCTGTTCGCAATTGCCTCGCTGGCTCTCGGTTATCTAGCAGCAATCGGAAAGTGTTCAGGACATCCTTGTTTTGTCGTAGATCTTCAAGCTTGCGGCATGTGTTTTGTCGACCAGCCAAAAAATCGAAATATTCACTGTTAGCTGACCTTTTGGCCTTGTTGGTTGGACATGTCTGCTTTTCACCAACCAGCAAAAAGGTTTTCACAGGTTGCAAACTTGTCTTAAGCTTGTCGGACCCAGTCTAGTCATAGCCCAAAAGGTTTGGATGCGATTTCTACACTGATCGGGCTCATCTTATTTTGTAGTTTGGATTGCTGGTTTCGCTCCATTGCCATCAGTAGCCAAGGGTCGACATTTTCAGAGCACCAATTCACCCACCCGGCCCCCCCCTTCCCCCCCTTCTCCGCCCCAGGAAAACAACAGCGCGTAGAACTTGGGTTATGAAGTTGATGTTTGCCCGAGGACTTACCTGCACTTCGTCTTCAAGAAGGACTACGCCTCTCAGCGATTTCTGACCCAAAAAAAATCACGAAGCCCTGGCATTGAAATCTGTATCCACTCTTAGAGTGGATACATGTTTGGGGTTAAAGAGTCGTTGGGTTTTGGTGTCACTTCCCCCAGCACTTCCAGCGGTAAATTTGAGGAGTGCACTTGACCGGACTCAGTGAAAGTGAACCGGAAGGCTTCTGGTACAAGAAATGCTGAAACACGTTGCCCAGTTGCCCGTGGATTCCGGCCCTTTTTTCATTTTTTTTAATTACCCTGGGAAGGGTTCCCCAAGCTCAACCAAGAAAGGATTGGAAGGATTGGCCCAACCTACACTGAAAGGATCTCTCCTTTCTGATCCGGGCGGTCTGCCTCGTTCATGTAAGTTTTGCCATGGAGACACTAGATCACCTCTCCCCTAGCCCCAGTTGACGGCTTGGGTTGGATGTTTGGACGCAAGGGCGATGCCTTTCTAGTGGGCATTTTACACCTGGCAGGTTGCAGCCGTTTGAATCAGCCAAGCTTTCTCATGTACGTGATACCTTTAGAACTTGCCCGGCTCCGGCTGTTTCATAGGATCCCCCCCTCGTGCAACGGATTCTGTGTGGCGCACAACCCTTCGAGGGAATTGAGTTTGTTCTTTCACCCCTGGCTCAGAATCGCATCGTTCCAATTCTGATGCATTCATGGAGCATGTGCTGGGGGGATGGTATTTTCTGTTTCCAGACCCCTGAGCTTGTTTGGCCTCGATTATTCAGGTGCATTGCAGGGAGGTATTTCACCAGGGGTTGCTTCCGCCGGGATGAACACCAGCCCACCCAGCCCACAAAGTACGCGTGTTGCAGGTGTTTTTCTTTTGCAGCTTCTCGGTCCGCTTGCGTACCGAGGCCTTTAATCGCCGCCAAGCACGGCGCACCTTCACGGCGCTGGATGCAGACGCTCAGCTGCGTCGGCACAAATTCGGAGCCCTCGACCCTCCTTGGCCTTTTTGAGGAGGTTTTCAAGTCAAGCCCAAACGAAAGCACCTATCTTCAGGATTCCCCAAGTAGGCACCCTGTGTGGTCTTGTGACGTTTTCTCACTTGGCCACGAGTTGTGGAGAACACGAGATCCCGACAACACAGTGAGAGACGGTTAATCCGATGGATGTAGCTCCTGCTCTAAGACAAAACATCATGTAGAATCTAGAATCCAGAGGTGGAGATCCTACTTATCCGCTCGGAATGCGCTCCTTTCTCGTATGCACGACGTTAGTGGACTTAGTTTGTGTCTTTCAGTTTTAATTCTGCTTCTAGCTGGCAAGTTGTTGCCGTCCTGGCCGCCCTGAGGTCCAGGTTTGGCTTTTCCTCGCTTTCCCTTACAGGGAAGCGCACAGGCTCGCGGCTCAAAGGAATTTCGAATTAACACCCCCGGTGAATTCATAGGGCGTCCCATTAAGCTGAAACACTCAATCCAGCGTATCACCTCCAATTATGCAATTGTGCTCGTTTGCAGCCGGGTATGGCAGGAATTTTGGGGAGCCCCCGCCACAACAAAACGGCTGCCCACAGATGCTGACTGGTTCAAAGCTCAACCCCTGAGTTTCTAGACTTTTGTTTCTGTACGCTTTGGGAAGACCTGGTAAAAAAAATAAAAAAATAATAAAAACAAATAGACTTGGCCTGTCCACTCAGGAAGCGAGAAATCCAAAGATTTTACGGGTGAAAGCTGATGAGAGTGTTCGGCGCACGGACCAGTGCCGGAGGGAATCTCAGCCTTCGGGCGGTTGTTGAATGACCCGCGTTCTCACTCCCTGAGTTCCCGACCTGTGCACTTTTTGAAGGCCATGTGGCCATGGGTCAAAGGCCGTACCCCCAGTGAACATCCCAATCCCCATGAAAAAAATCTAAAATGGGTGGTGCACCAATCCCCCAAAATGGGATCCCATTGGTTTTGACCCACAGCCATGTAGTGCTACGAACGTTGCTTATACCTGTTTGGCCGTGCAGGATGGGTGCTTGATGCTTTGAAAGCCTCAGTTTGACCGCCAGTCAGCAAGGACGGCAATGGCTTCATCGAGCGGGGTGAATTCTGCCTCGTGGTCGAGGCACGGTCCGGTTGCCAGTATTGCAGCTAACTAGGGGAACTACTAGTGGTACGACAGCCACTCAGTCACCCCCAAGCCAACCCGAATTCAACCTCAACCCTATGCCATCATTTCGCCGGATACCAACGCCTGACCAAGCCTGAGCCAATCCCAAAGCGGCACAGCATCCTCGCTCTAGTCCAGGCCCAAGCAAGTTCATCGGCCTCAAATCGGTGTGCCTTTTGTTGAGGGTTACCTTTTTGGGGCTCCAAGGGAAACTGAACCCCACCCTGATTCTGAAGGGCAGCAACCACCCTTAAGCTCCAAACCACCAATTGGATGGCAGGTGATTAGAACCTTCTTAGGGCACTTAGGAGTTCCCATTCTGGTGGATAAGTTTTGGCCCAAATAAGCGCCTCTGCCTGGCAGGCGCTGTCCAACGAGTCCGTCTACATCCCCATGCGCCCGGTGCCCTCTCTGGCGCGGTCTGGGTTGGGCTCTCATGTCCTGCACTTCTTCATCCACGGGGTGCGGGTGAGGCGGGGTAACACGGCATGGCGTGGGCACGTGGGGGGGGGGGGCAGGGAGGGGGGTGGGTCTCCTCGACGGCTTTAGATTTTAGGGTAGGCCGAATATGGAACATTTGAGATGACGATTTTCTGTGTATCGCATTTGCGGGCCAAGTTGCTGTTGATACGGTCGGAACTTGTTCTGTTTGACTCAGTGAGCAGCCCAAGATTTTAGGGCCAAGCGCCTGCTCAAGTCGTTGGCGCTGTTCAAGTTTCGTGGCGTGGTTCGGGAGAGTGGGCAATGTCCTTGCTCCCCTTACACGGAGTGCAGACCCGGACTGATCGAACGGTGGATCGGGAGGTGTGCCCCTCATGTGAAGGGTTCCCTGCTAAATGGGACATGGTTAACAAGGAGTTGTTGCCTGTCTCCCCGAAGTCTTCTGAATGTATCCCTGTTCTTCAGTGGCACCCTGTTTCTCTTGTTTAATTTGTGGGGTTCCCACCAAAGATGGCCAACCCCAAAAGGCAAATTGTTCTTTTCTGCCAAATCAAAAGTCTCTCTCTTATCCGAAAATCGCAGAATGTTGAGGGAATGCGCTTGTGGTGTTTGGGTATGGTCGATGAATCGGCGAATATCGCGACACTGCGGTTTGTTTTTCCTTCACCATGCCCATAGGCGCGGTTGTATCTTGTTAGAGCTTGGGGCAAAAATAAATACACAATTCATTTCTGGGGGTTGGTAAAGCAAACCAACAAACCAGCTGAGAACCGACGTCCTTTTCTTCCACTTGAGGACAATCCGTGTTCAGCTCTGATGATCCTTTTTTTCAGGGCCAGCCGAAAGGGGCTAATAGCGAGTGACGAGGCCTGGCTAAAATGGTTCTTTGCGGATGCCTTTCTTTGGGGCTGCCCCTCTCAACCCTCTAAGGAGCCGACAGCCGTTGTTTTTCGTTTGGACTTCGGGTCAGGGCTTTCGCGACCCCGATCTACTGGCGCTACATCCTGGACCTTGTAGGGCACTGAGCTGACGTGTTTTTCGCGGTCAAAGAGGTCAAAGTGTCTTGGGACTTCGCTTGCCTTTTGGATGTTCCAGGAAAGTGGTTAGTGCCATGGCAAGTCCTGGGTGAATTGCGGGTGGCTTACAACTCATGTCACCCACTTGCTAACTTGTATTGCCGGAATTCCAAACCTTCATATGTCCACGGGCTTGTTCCGAGCTGACAGTTAAAAGGTTGGCATTTGGGATTTCTCTCCTGTCTTTCGGTTTCCCTTTAAACCCGCAGAGAAGATCAGAGAAGGGTACTCTCAAAACAAAAGACAAACCAACTGGCTTCTTACAACATGAGGTGACGCTGCTGGAAGCCGTGCTCGCACTGGTGCAGACCATCATCTTCGTGTCCCCAGGCGGGTAAGAAATTGCCCACATTGCGGATATTTGCTCTAGGTGTATTTGGCACCCAGGAAAGCTGCCACCCACGTTGCCATGGACGTTTTGTGTCTTAAGAGACAGTCCCAACCTGGAAGCTATGCCAACGGGTACCACCCACGTTGCCACCGGATGTTTTGTGTTTTTAGAACTTGTCCCAGCCTGGAAGCTCCAGTCAGGTTCCATGGCAACCGCCGGGTAATGGAACCACTTTGCTGCTCATTAGAAGTTGTTTTTTTAAAGTCGCAGAGTGCATGTCGGAGAGTGGTGTGCGCGAGCTGCTTTTTCCAGAGCCCGGATCGCTTTTGCCGTCTAGACGTCGTGTGCATTTTTCGCATTTGACTAACTTGCAGCCTGAGAATTGCCATGTACAAGGATTTGTGAGTCAAGTGGCCGCCGTAAACCTGGCACGTTGATGGTTTGTGTTCCTAAAAAGTGAAGGATGCTGCCACATGGTTCTGGACAAAGTGACAAAGTGGCAAAGTGACATGGTGAAGGATGCCGCTTTAAAGTGACAAAGTGGTAGGGACAATCCACTTTGAGGATGAGTGTCCGTTTATCCGTTTATGAATGTCAGGCGGCGGGGGGAAGTTCAGAGATGCGCCGCTGCGGGCGCAGAGCATCTGGTTCAAGCTGCTTACGGCCGCTCTTCAACCGGACATGGATGGTTTTAGGGGGGTCGTTGTTAGACGGGAAGCTGACCAGGGTTAACCAGGAGGACTGTGCTAACGAGGGGTTCCCGTTTTGGAAAAGGGAATGATATACATTGATCCGAAGTTAGCCCGAGAACAACCAGACCGTTTGAAGGGGAAGAACCCCAAGGTTGCGTTTTGGGCGCTCAGGGCAGGTTGGGGGCATGAGCCTTACTGGCTCAGGGAATGCAGCGAGGGATTGACCATCCAGGAACACAGGAGAGCATGTGTCACATCACAATTGCTGGTGTCCTCTATAAACTGTTGCATAAGATGTCAGGGTCTAAAACTATCAAGTGACCCCTAACTGGTGGTCTGGGTTGGTGGTTGGGGGATTTGAACCCCAGTCCCTTTTGAAGCCATGAGGGAGGCAGCTACGAACGTCCAACCAAACTACAAATTGGTGGCAAGCTGAAATATGAAGCAGCAACTGAGAATGTTACTTTAAAATATGCAGTTGGGCCAAGATTGGCAATTTAACGGTGGACAGATTTCTGCTTTCCCGAGTGGCTGTGATACTCTGTGCCACTAGCAGTCCCACCTTCTTAGAGCGTTTGAGTGCCAGCATAAACTCGATCACTATTGTCAATTCGCTTAGGACTAGACTTATTTTCCACTTATTTTCCCTGTTGGTTTTATAGAAACCTATCACTACTGGGAGTAGTATATTTGTTTCCATGGTCGAGGCACGTTTCGAGTGCTGCTTGTGATGTTTCGGTGCACGTGTCCTGTAAGTTGACCTTGGATGCTTTCTCCGCAACTATCGGAATGGGACAGACAAGGCCATTGGTTAGCAGAACCACCCGGGGTTGTGAGAAGGTTGGATTTTTCAACTACTCGGATACCGGGACCATCACCTCCTTGACCTGACGGGAGGTCAATAATAATTTTCGGGTACCCAAGAGACGCATTAAGGGGAGGAAGTGTGGTCAACGTGCTGTCAGTGGGAAGCCCATTTTTCCACAGCGTCACAGAAGAGTTTCGGCAATTCCCAGAAACCTGTTGAGGAAATCAGCTGTTTGCTCGCCAAAGGGCCAATGATTGTCACATGTGTTTTTGGAGGGTAGTCCATTTTTGGCGGTTTGAAGGGAAACCAGAAGGCGCATGTCATTGTAGCAAGAGTCAGGATGAACACTGGTACGTCCAGGCCAAAAAGTCCCGAACTCTGTCAGGACAGGGATCCCTCCATGAACCCCTTTTTGGAGCCTCCAAAAGTGGCGAGCGTTTCAATGGAAGACACTTCCAACTCTTGAGGAGATCCGGTGCCAAGGAGTTCCCTCCGGAGCTTCTTGTCGTTCCAGTCAAACCCGTGGCCTCGGGGCGGCGGCGAAAAACTTTTCGCGAGGCCACCACGGTCTTCTTTGGTCTGCAGATGGTGGTGCAGATGCTGGTGATGGGCCCTGCCAGGTGCGCGTTGTTGTTGTTTTCTTTTTTTCCCCCGTCTCAAGCGTGCATCGCGCTTGAGGAAGCGCGTTGGGAAGACATGGTGAAAGCAAGGAAACTAGCTTGCCCCTTGTGCAAGGTCTCTAGTTTTGTTCTATGTAGATTAGGCTAGACTAAAAATGAAGCAGAGTCTGAAATAGGCCCAGATATCATCCCAACAACAACTGCCGGTGCCCTTCGCGAACCCTCCGCAGCGGTTCGGGACCACTCCGAATATAGCAGCAATGCTTACTCCCCGATTTCATGGACTTTAGACTTTTTGAAAAGACCATTGTAGTAATAGATCAAAGGTTAATTTTCGCCATTCCGCTCTGGAAGTGAGAAAGGCAGGGTTTAGAGCCCCTCTTTTTCTTCCAGGCACAAAACGTCATTTGAGCCGATTCCCAAAAGGGCGTCGGCGCCTAGGAGCACCCCATGTCCACCCGGTCACCCGTTTTCAGGTACTGGAACCGGCGACCCTACCGGAACCGCTTCGACTTCTTCTCCATTTTCGCCTTGCTTCTGCTGGAGATTTGCATGATGGTCTCCCATGAGCCGCACTGGATGGTTCGCACAGCGCCTTGGTTTACGGGGCTCCTGAAAAGATACTTCCAGTTGCTTAAGAAAAAACCCTTCCGAACATCCGAATCACCCCCCTCCCAAAAAAAGAAGAAAACAGTTAACACAACAACATATGATCAAACGATATTTGTTAATAGGATAGTTAGGGACCGACCGCATTTCCTCTTTTGGTCCCCTCCAAAATGGGCCGTCAAAATTGCAACTTTCCGAGTATCAAATTTTAGTAGAACCGTTCGAGGTTGTTCTTGTTGGTTTCTGCGGTTTAGTAAAGGCACGCTCTTAATCTGGACGTACGATTAAATGCATATAAATGTGAGTCCATGTGAGTTTATACCGTTAACACCATGTGCTGTGAGACCCAAATATTCCAGGATGTGTTGAAGGAAGTCAGGGTGGGTTGAGCTCGCCTTTTCCGAAGCAACAATTAGAGGGAAGCTGAGGACTGGGGGATCATTTTTCAGCACGAGCCCCTGCTGAATATTCCAAAACTCCTGGACTTGATTCTTGGTACTTTGCCAGGGTTCCCTATTTCACCTTGCATTTATCAGAAAGGTCATGGTCTTTCGTGAGGCTCTGGTGCCCCTCACAGAGAAACGGGGGCGTTTTGGCGAAAGGAGATTCCTCTAGAATCTGATTTGAGCTTCCACCTACTTAGTTTGAGGATGATCCCTGCCGTAGGGGGCCCAAGACCTCATGATTTAAGCTCTTCGAGCGGATCAAAGGCCCTCTTATTTTGGGGTCTTGGTCTCCTAGGGCTCTGGTTCTTCTCCAGAAATCTGATCTTGAACTCAGGTCCTGGCGCTCCACATCTCGCGGCTGATTTGCCTCTCCAACTACATCACCCCCTTTCGCTACTTGGTGTCCCTCATGGCACGCCTGGCTCCGGTGTACCACCGCACAGGGCTCCTGCTGCTCATGGTGCACCCCGGCTGGTGCTGGCGGCGGGAGGGCGGCGGGTGAGAGCGAGAGAGAGAGAGAGTTGCGGGAGGCCTATGGGTGCGGAGATTCCGTTACCCACTCCAAGGGAAACCAAAAGGAAAACCAATTTGGGGGTCCCTCTAAAAAGAAACACACATCAATTTGGGTCCCGGGACTTGAGTGACTTTTTGGTCTTGGATCGCTTTGGTGGTAAGTTTGTTCTCAGACCTTGTTTGTGGAAAGGCAACATGTCAAACAACTTTCAAACACTGGTGACTGTTTTGCCCATGGCCGTGGGGGTCTGGGTATCTCTTTACATATGGACAAGGCTTCTTTGTACCAGGCTATGATTGAGACTCAACTGGTGCAACCTGAACCTGGAAAACTTCTTCCGAGCAACGATCAGTGTCCACCACATCAAATGGAAGTTTCCAATAAACTCACTTCCTATGGGATCTGCTGATGGAAATGCAGGCAGTTTGGATCCCACGATGGTTTCCCAGTTTTCACCGCATTGCTGCGGAAAAGCTCGTAGTTTGGAAAGGGATCATTCATGTGAACTGGGCCACTTGTCCAAAGTCCACCGTTCTTTTAAACCTTTTCTGTTGTCCCTTGGCTCACTTGTCCAAAGCCGACCTGTTGGTTGGCCTTTGCTTTTGCTAGTTTGGTCCATTTTTAGTCATGGCCACACAAAAGCTTAAGCTTCTATTTCTGGGTCAAATAGGTTGTTGGTCGGTTTGTCTTCTCAAGGTTCAACTCCTGCGGAGGAAAGCTTTCAACACTGAATCTTCTACAAATTCGAGGTCGTTTTTGGTTCCATGATGTTCCATGGAAGATTTGAAGGGGAGTTTTCTGGATGTTTTTTTTGGCTGAATGCCAGTTTCGCAGCTTTTGAGTGCTTAAGTGAGACACCTTATGGGCACTCACCCCATGGGCGCATGGAACTCATGGATATCCTTCCAGAGTACCAGAGAATGAACAGGGCTGTCAATGTTTGCCATTATTACTGTATTCGAGATTCCTTTGGGAGGATGAGGTTGGTACTTGCCATCTAGCCGAAAGTGTCAGGTTTCAAAGTCAGTGGGGTGTTTCTCAAAAATGGGGGTCCCGTAACACCGATGGGTTCCTTTTGGTGTCCCTTCGAATATCAAGTAAAACGGGGCCTGGCATGAAACTCCCAGTTGAGTGCTGCGAGCTGAGGTACTACATCTACGCCACGATTGGAGCACCTGGGCAGGCAACTGCTTCGTTGGGTCGTTCAAGCTCAATCATTGTGCCAATTTTATGGCCACACCTGAGATTGACACGAGCTCAGCATGATGCAGGTTCTGTACTTAGGGATTCCTCACATCAGGCTTCACAAGAGATGAGTTGTTTTGCAAGAGGTCAGCGGTGTCCAACTTGTCGTAGCGATCCCACGGACTACTCAATAAGATGTGTGATCCCTTTTCACGTTGAAGTATCCAGTGCAGGATTGGGCAATGTTTAAAGCCAAGGGCACAGTTCTTCCGCGTGCCCAACCCTGCGAGCATGACTTCAACCCAGGTTCTTTTCTGAGCCAATGAAACCCCCACATTCCGCGGATGCGCGGATTCAGGTGTTTTGAGACTGTTTGGCACATCGCCGGTATCCTCCCGGCAGGGCTACTGGCAGCATGCATTTGCATAAGCAGACTCTGCCCCTCAAAGCAACAAACAAATGTCAGTATTCTAGGCATGTGTAGTTTTTGCAGATTGTGTATTCTAGGCCAATGTGTTTAGTTGAAGCCAAGGGGAGGTCGGTTAAGCAAAACTTCTTCCACTGTGCTCCACTGTGTTTTGTAGGTGTTGTCTGCTTTTCGGGAGTCTAGTCACTGTCACCTTGGGCCAAGGTATCAGAGCGGTTCAGCCCATGAGATGGCGAGCAGATTTGTTTTCAATGTTCATGGCCAAGGTTCGACGATGAAAGCAAGCAGTGGTCTAGGGGTAACTTCCATTTCCATTCTTTCCAGACATCCGGCACTCCCCAGAAAACCGCCAAGCACCCCGAAAAAATATGGCGCTCCGGTTTTTGAAAAGCAAGAGCGATGGCTGAAAAGAATGGCTTACCTCTTAAAAACACAACTTTTCAACTTTTTGGGTAACATGGACTATATGTCTGTAAAAGATTAACTTCCCCAGGGCTTGGAGTTTTAAGGGGTAAGATGGGGAAAAGGAATCGGCATCCACCCCCAGAAGTGGCCGATGATTGGCAAACGCCGCCCGGTCTCCCGCGCCGCCCAGCTGCAAAACCCCCGTGACAAAAATGGGCCAGATGTACCTGCCGCGGTGCCAAGCTCGCTTTCATCTTCAGTTTGGGCAAGGCCCATAGTTTGTGCTCCTGAACTCAGGCCACCCCTTCCTTCCTTATGGATGATTGGGATCAGACCTTTGGACTTGAACTGTTTTGTTGAAACAACTGGTGGCGCTTTTTTTTTGCAGAGGGGTCACAGCAAGCCGAGGAGCAACTTTTCGGGGGCAAGATGACGCGGCAGAACTTGCAGGGCACCACCTACGCGGCTTCCCAGTGCCCCGTCCGGTGACGGGAGAATGTCTTCTGACGGGAAAACGCGGAAGTGGGCGGCTCGTTTTCCACGAGCTTCGCACTTTTGTTTTTGACTCGCCGGGCTGGAGTGTCAGGTCGACATGCCTGGTTTGCAGGCCGGGACGAAGAGGACTCGTGTAAGAGCCGTTTGGATGAGATCGGCAAGAGCAGATCCACGAAGGCTTCCGACAGATGAGATGTTGGAGATGCCGGAGGATATTGCCAATGTTGCTGAACACCCGCCTTTGCCGCCATTTAACGCGGTTTTTTTGCCTTTAGGTGTGAAGTTTCGACGGGAAGTGTAGGCCCTGCAGATTTGGTTGGTCAGTGTCTACCTGCGAGGTACTGGGCCCTGAACTTTGACGACTTCCCGTCAGGCCGAAGATCGGGCGGGGGATGGGCAGGAAGGATGGCTGGCACAAGGGTTTGTTGAGGTTGTCTTCGAAACATATGTTATCTCTAGAATGTTGGGCTTCCTGCTGGTTAAATTCTTAAATTGGGTTTGTCTGAAATTCAATGAGTTTTCTTTTGGATTTCTTGACTAGCCGTTTAGTTGAACGTGTCTCAAAAGTAGAGAGTTTTCTCTGAGGAGTTGCACGCCCTCCATATATATATATATATATGCAACCCCCCCCCCCCATGGACCCTGGTTTTACTGCCTTTTGGGGATGGCAAATCTAGAATTTCCAAATTTATATTCTCGAAATTTCTAATTGTGGGTCCCCAAAGCGTGATAATTTGGAGCCCGGAGTCCTCGACAATGTCCCAGTATGATACCCTTTCCAAATAAGATGTTACTTCAACTAGAATTGGAATTTTGAATATGGTTTAGTATGGATTCTGGATATAGTTTTCAAAAATGAGTTTATGTTCAATTACATCTTAAACAAGCAAATCCTTTCCAAATAGCAGCTACATGAAAATGTATATATCGGCTAAACTCCAACTCATCTATAACACAAGAAGTTAGATGTGTTTTTCTCCAAATATAATCCAAGTGGTAAATATAATCTAAGACGAACACAACTCAATTTGCTTTTGATAATATCAAGTGAATAGAGACTACATCTCAAATATAATTCATACTAAATATGGCTATACGTTTGGAAATTCAAAATAGGATTTGTGTTATTTACATTCTGGCCCTTTTGTAGCATAAGAAAGGTCCGACATTGAACTTGTTAGACGGTGTTCCAAAGGGAAATTTCAAGGGAAGAGAGGTTCAAAATCTAAACTATCTCGAAACAGGGATTCTAGCTATACCGTTGTATTTAAAGTTATATTTGCGCAGGAAAGTTAATTCTATCTCAAAAGGTGGAGGTAGTAGATGAGCAAATGTGGACAGGTAGTTCAAGAGGGTTGGGGGACGGTGTGTGAACGTGCATACATATGTATATCTATTTATACACATACATACACACATATATAGTACGCCCAATGATCCTGCGCCTCCTCATAAAATACTGGAAAATACAGTATTTTTGAGCGTTACACCTGCCTTTGTTTACCTCCTGGAAAGGGGTCAACATGAGCATAGCTGACATGAAGCTCACCAAAAGCACTTGAACGTTTGTCTAACCAATAACTTGAAAGTGTGTCCACTGGATCGCTAAGCACTTGAACATTTGCTACTATCGGATGGAAGATTCAAGATTGAAGATTACGCAGCAAGCTTTCTTGAGAATTGTCAATCCTGGCCAAACCCAAATAGCATTCAAGTTATTCTAACACTTGAAAGTGCTTTACCACTGGATTGGGGATTCAATATTGAGGAGCCCACAAACCACCACTTTCCTGAGAATCATCCATCCTGGTCAACCCCTAAAAATGTTCAAGTTGTTCTATCACCTCGAACATCCGTTACCACTGGATTGAAATATTTCACAGACACTTTTCCGAGATTTTTATTGAACACCGAGAGTATTGGGACAACCCTGGAATTTTTAAACTTTTTAAAAATTATGAGATTCAATATTCAATATTCAAGATTCAAGATTCCCAGAAAATATTTTCTCACATTCTTGAATCTTGAATCCCATAATTTTTATTTATTCTTAACAAGATGTCTGAGTTGTTCTTGTATTATTGGATGCATTCAAACTTGTTCAGATTGCAGGTGCTGATGTCATTGCTTTTATCACATCTGTATGCATGCATGCGTATCATATACATGAATGACCCTCCCCCCAATTTTGACACAAATCCAAGAAGCAAAAAAAAGCATAAAACACTGGAAAATACAGGTCAACCGCACCAAACCAGGGTCCATGGGGGGGGGGTATATATATATATATGGCTTCCGTTCTAAAAGGCCGGCTAAGGAGCTATATACAGTATGTGCATAATTCCTGTTCCATCTTGTTTTTTCATTTTCGAAATGAAGCGGGCCCCCACCTAAATCATGCAAATCCCACTGGCAGCGCTAGCTTTGCGCTAGATCGGCGCTAGGTCGGGGACGTTAGTTGACGTGGCATGTGAGATGCGCACGAATGGCCCTTCTGTCTGGTCGTCGACGCATTTCTTGCTCGCAAAGCGAAAGTGCTGCGTTTGCCACAAAATCTGCACGTGTCTTGCGCGAAAGTGCTGCGCCTGCCATGCCTGCCCTTCCGAAAGCATTGCGCCTGTCACGAAATCTGTACCTGACCTTGGAACACGTGACCCTGCGAAAAATCCGAAAACATAGGCAGTTGTTCGCGCTAGCTCTGCGCTAGCACCGCGCTAGCAGGCAGTTGCCAACTTAAACGCTGGGGCGCGTGCCTTGTTGAAGGCAATGCCTAAGAAACCACTTGCGTGTTTCTAGGCTGTAGTTGAAAGTCAGGCTAAGTAAAACTATATACCCGTAGTACGAACCAGTTCGGATGTGTTGCTTGCTGAAGGCGTGGTGTAGAACATGGGGGTTTCTTAAATATCCTACAGCAGCACCTCTACAAGCTCGGCGAGCTCAACCGACAGCAGCTTCAGAAAAGGCCCGCGCTAGCGCGCCTGTCAGTTATTTGCACATTTCCTAGTCAAACCTTTTGTGCCGCAATGGTTACGTGTTCATATGGCCCGAATGATACGGGCCCCCGTGGAATGGCGATTTACGCTGCAAAACTGGGAGCCAACATTTTGACAACCAGCCATATGTATCTATATATATATGTATGTTTTTGCTTGCTCCTGGAAATCAACCAGCAGCAGGTCCCCTGCAACAAAGCAACACTGATCGAGGTGGTCAGCAGGCAGGTCTTACAGGGTTGTTCAAAATCAATCCTGAGTTTTGGTAGCGGCTTCCCTTGTTGTAGTGGTGTATGGGTTATGGATTGGGGGCCCTCTCCCCATTTTGAACTACCCAGTTCAGGATTGGGATTGGGACAGCCCAAGTCTTACGCTCATGGACCTCTAGGGGGACAGCCACTATCCCTGGATAAGCCTAGAGAAGGCGAGAATAAGCCCTTCTTATGGCCTTATGGGGTTTTAGCGGGGGGGTCCATGATGCGCCAGGCCTGGTGACACTCTTCTCGGTGATGGTGGTGAACAACTGGTTCGTCATTGCCGGTGGCTTTATGGCTGCTACCTCCGTGCCTTCGCCAAATCCAAGCCGACCTGTTCGAAGAAGCCAAAAGCGGGGAAAAGTCTTTTTGATTTTGGTGAGTCTTTAGCAAAATCAGCATTTCTTGATTTCCTTGGGTGTGAGTTTGGGTTTGTCTTGCTTTTGAATTCCGTTTGGTTTCCCTTTAGTCTTTAGTGCCCTTCGGGTCTTCAAGTCTTCTGGTATGCTTTCCCAAGTGGCAGCTGGTTTGGCATCTTTTTTGCATAACCAGGCTCCTTCCCGCCAGGCAATTTAGTTCGAGGTTCCTTTTGCGGAGATGTTTTAAAGGGGACACGCCCTCCCAACAATTAACACGGAAACTGACAGGGGTCCCTTTAAAAGGAAAATGGTCTTCCAGGAACCCGGGTCAGGTTCCAAGTTATTGGTGTAAGGAATGGAGGTTTTGGCTTGCTTGCGAGGTGTACGCGAGCCTCTTCTTCGTGTCCTTCTTTGCGCCTCGGCATGGGACGAATGAATTTGGCCGGGTTGGGAGACAGAATGAGGATCCATGATGAATCAGCCTTCCCTTGTTGAGTTAGGCTATTTTGTTCATCATGTTAGCAAAGGCCCCAAAAGTACAAATACATGGTATAAACAACATGTTCATAGCAAACACCCGTTTCCGAATTCAACAAAAAACAATCCCGCTGGGGTGATGCATGAATTTGGACATACCCCCCAATGTTTGCTGGGATAACTATACGGCATCAGGAAAGCTTGTCCAACGAGAAGGTTTTTCTTTCTGCAGGACACCTGTTTTTCTTAGCCCTTTTGATTGGCTCCTCGGAATTTCCGTGCTTTGTTCAGGTGCTGGCGAACCTCATCGTTTTGAACATCCTCCTAGCCCTGATCATTGACACCGCCTTGGCTGTGCGCGAGGAACCGCGGGGAGGTTTCCCGCCGCCCGATGGGGTGGAACGGTAGGTTGGTTGCCTTTTTCACCAGCCAGCAGTCATCATTTACCGCCGGTGCGTTGCCGACCAAATCTGGGGTCAGATCAGTCTGGGCAAGTTTGGGGGCATGGCTCGACCTCTTTTTGTTTGGATAAACTTGGTTGCAAGGGAGCGAAGCTTACCAAGGCCTTAAGTGGAACCATGGGTCGGGCTTAGGCTTGCAAACGCGAGCGCTAGATCAAGCCCCAAGGTTTGGGTTGGAGCAACTCTGAATAACAAAAAACAAGTTCTACCGAGCCACCTGGTGTGAAAGAAGCAGCTTGCGGGGAAGTACCGGGAGGGAATGACCCTTATAAACCATTCAACTGGCGGTTTCCTTTATTCGAAAATCCCGAAACGGTTCATTCCCACATTCCCTACCTGTCGCACCAGCAAGTTACAGTATATGTCCCCTTTGAACCGTCACCCCGCCAAAAGATGCCAAAAGGAACCTCGAAAACATCCAAGTCCAAGTTACGCAAAGAAGGTTTCTGTTTCTTCAGAACATGGTCCAACCACATGCCGCATGTCGCTTTCACACGCCCTTCTTAGCCGCGTGCGGGCGGCTGGATCCAATCCGCGCGAGGAGATGGAGAGCGACGACACCGAGGCTGCGGAAGAGTCGCCGGCCTGGAAGCCCTCCCAAGGCGTGGCCCTGTCCGATGGAATTTGGGGCAACTCTGGCGCGAGAGCGAGGGAAGGACCTTCCGGGTCTTGGGATTGAACCTAGGGAATGAAATGCGGCAAAATCTGCAGGCCACGCCCCTAAGAGCGGCCCCCCCTTTCGAAAGTTCCCCTTTAAATAAAGGGCTTCGTGAGTCTACCCCGCCAAGAGTCGCGAACAGCAATGTGCGAAGTTGTTCATTTGGGGGGGGGGGCAACGGTTCCTGAAAGGTATTTTGGTGTTAACAACCACCTTACGGACAGCCGGCTTGTAGCGCGATGCACCCCAAGGGGCATTTGCTTTCCGCCCACCTAACACCAGCCTGTTTTGTCAAACTGGGAAAGTGAGTAAACGATTCTTGGCGTTCTTTTGATTCGAATCAAACGAAGGATCGCCCAGCTTGCGGACTGCAGAAGCATGGTTTGTGCCTGGTACCCTTTTGATGGGCTGGTTAAAGGGAATTCGGTGCGGCTACCAGCAATGTTGGTGGCGCGAATCCTCTTCTGGGTCGCTTTATTTGTTTTGTTTGTTTGTTTGGCTTGCGCGTTTGCGCTGGTTTGGACGAACAAAAAAAACCTGCTCAAACTTTGGGTCGTGTCGCCATGAAAAAGCTGGGGCTCTTCAATCGCAAATACCCACCGTTTGACTTGTTCTGACCAATTTACTCAGGAAGTGAGCCAAGTTCAGCCCACGCCTTGCCAGGACGCGAGACGCTGCTCCAGCGCTTGCTTCTCAACGAGGCGGGAGCGTCACACGTTGGACCCGAGAAAGGGGTCGTGGACCCGAGAAAGGGGTCCGGGAGCGTCAATTTGGTGCCAGAATGCACCGCGAGACCCTTGGATGCGTTTTTTTTTTTTAGGAGTTGGCTCTGCCTAAATGGTGTTTATGCATTCAAGGACCTCAACCGGAAGACAACCTTTGCTGTCTGTGTGCCTAGGTTTATGCAGCTATGGTATGACGGAGCTCCTCCAAATGGTTGAGCTGGATCGTTGCCATGCGCACTTAAAAACGGCTTACCCCGTTTCGGTCGGGATATGGGGGCCGCTTCATTTGGGGGGAGAATGCACATAGAGGCATCACCTATAGCATAGGTAGCTATAGGGGGAAATCGTGATGAACATTTAAGTAGTGACATCGTCACCTGCCACCCAGCGATGTTCTATGGTTTGAAGCGTTCCAGGGTAGGTCTTTCGGGAGGACACGATTGGCCAGTTCTTCTCGGGCTGGCACAGAGTTGGTGGCCTTGAGTTTTCGATGTTTTGTTAAGCTGAACATGGACCAATGGCGTGCCAAGTATCACAAGCGCCGTGTTTCTTGAAAACCTGAGTACCATTCTGGGTGAGGCTGGTGATGTCGCATAGCAAAGCAGCTTCCCAAGAAAAGCGCCCATGAAAATCCAAGCCTCAACGGGGAAAACGAGCAAAGCTTTGTTTGGTCCTGCCTGGTTGCGTCCTGCGTCAGGCGAAGTAGTGGAGTAAATTCCTGCGATTGCTTGTTTGGTTTGGTTTCCTTGCAACACTAAACAAGGAAATGCTGCCTACAGCTTGACATGGAACCCCAAAACCCGCCACTTGTAGAGGAATCTCCTTTTGGGGGACCCTTTTGCTGGCTTCCATGACAACCTGTAGGGGAGTCCGCGGGCTGTGATTTGCTCGAGTACTCAGTGACAATCATTCATCAGATTGTCGCCTTTGAAGGTGCCACAAGGCCCCTTGGCGTAGGGATCGTCATGAACCTGTTAATAAGTTAATAAGGGTTCTAGACATCCACTGAGGCTTTCAGGCAATCATGGCCAAGGTGTGTTGGCTTTTTCCCGAGTCGCGCTGGCCGTAGGATGAGCGGACAGAGACGCACCCCCTGATGGTGATTCACAAAGGCTCCAGCTGGCCCCATGCAGGCGGGGCACTGCCACGAATTGCTTGGAGGTCCACGCCGTTGGTAGACGCTATTCCTCCATGTCTTTCTTCAAGCAAAAAGTGAGCTTCAGGGGTCTACGTCTAACCCAGAATTCAGTTTGAAAGTGCTTTGTGACTATGGGTCAAAGGAAGCGTGCTAAAGATGAAAAATCAGGCCTTGGCTGCCTCAGGCCTTCCGACGCACCGACCAGACCAGTCCGCGAGTTCCAGTTCCACGACCAGCGAGGCCGATGACTTCGACGAGAAAAGCGACCTTTGACCTGAGTCAAAGAGTGGCAACGAAGCAAAAACCGGGCGCCACTTGCTTCGAGCTTCTTCGCGCCTCCTTAGTTGCTGGACACTTCTTACTTGGGAAGACTGTGTTACTTACTCCCTGCGTTCTTGGACTTGGTGCCTTTTGGGAAGAACCTTTTAGTGGCATTTCGCCAATCTACTCAGGAAGTGAGTTGGCAGACGAAAAGCTCAGAGCTTGGTGGCCCCTTCGGTGCGAACATGTGCCGTGTACAGCTACGTGCAGCTCAGTTCACGAGATGCCCGGCCTTGCCCCGGAACTCCCCCAACCCCACATTGGGTCAAAACCGATGGGATCCAATTTTGGGGGATTGGTGCACCACCAATTTTAGAACCTATTTTAGTGGGGATTGGGATGTTTACTGGGGGTACGAGATTTTGACCCCTGGCCACATTGTTCTTCTTTGCTTTTCTCAAGGGGTCACAAAGTTTCCTCCTTCCAAGGTTGCCATTCAGGTAAAATCCAGTGAGAACGAGGCATGGGATCCCATGAGCATAATTGGCTCGGTCTGGCGGCGGCTGGACGGACGGAGGGGCGGCTTCTTTGATGCGGAAGGGGTTCAGGATGAAGCCGACAGGATTTACTTCTCATCGTCCTTTCATGTTCAGCCTTCTGGGAAATGAATGAATCTTCCCCGCTAGCCTGATAGAAGCGCTTGGGGAGTAAATGTCCCCACTTTTGGAGACGTTTGTTTCCCTTCATCCTATCAAACAGTTAGACTTTGTGCAGGGTGCCAACAACCGACCCCGCCTGTGACGTCATCGAGCGTGAGCAAGGCTTAAGAGCAGGAAGATGGTTTTCTAGCTTCCAATGCCCCAGCACAAGTTCCACGGCCTGCGCTTGCTTGCGTACAGGAAGCCACTGCAACTTGCTTTCTGGGAATCCTGGCTTCATTTGTGCCTCTAAGGGATCCGTTGATTCTTTTAGAAAGTGAGAGTCGCAAGGCCAAGAGCCTTTTTCCTGAACGGCTGGAAGCTATGGGCTTGGTCTCTGCCCACATAGGTGCTTAGGTGGTTTGGGGCAGCTTTCAGGGAGGGTTCCGGAGGGTGGGTTGGGGAATGTTGGGGATATCACCTGGGCTTATTCTCCCGCACGGTTCAGTTGCCTTTTCTGGTGTAAACTTGCCGCGTCTCGCCGCAAATCCGCCAGATCGGTTCAGGGCCGTTTGCCCGTTTCGCGGCTTCTTCCGGTGGGTTGAGGCCTTGTACAACGCTAATGCCTAGAGTTGTCCGAAAAAAGGGAGGCTGGCTTTGCTTGATAGCCACGTTTGTGTGTGTGTGTGTGTCTGTTTTTTGAGGCTCGGCACCTTTTGCAGGGTTGATCTCAAGCTTCGAATTCCCCCCGATTTTGACAGACCCACTACTTGTTTGATTCTCTCAAGCAGGCCACGACTCAAAAAGGAACAGTTCAAAAGGACACCTACCCCTTGTTTCCGCATCTAGCAGGGGTGTCTTCACTTTTCTTGTCCATGTTCTAGCGCTTCTTCAGTTCATTTGTCCGATTCTGCTGTACGTGTGTGGGATGCAATTGAACCTTATTTGGTGCTTTGGATTTGTTTGCTTTGGGGGGTTTGAACCCCTGGTTCTTATAGAGGGTAAATGGGAAGCCAGCCCCAAGGGAAGCTGAACGAGGTATGTTTGTTGCTGCCTTATCAATTGGCCAATGGTAAGGTTTGTCGCAGGACGCCAGGTTTTCAGGCAAGGAGGCTTGTTTGAACCCCATTGCAGGGGACCAAGGAAAATGGTGCGGTGCTGTTCTCACTTCTCGAGTTCCGGGACTTTATACTTTTGGGAGAACAATTTTGGTGGCACTCAGAAAGTTTGGACTTTTTATTGGCCCATCCGCGCAGAAATGGCCCATCCGCGCAGAAAGGTAGCTACGCACCAAGCACATGGTTGAGAGCTGCGCAGGAAGCACCCCTTTCCAAGATGATCTTCCAACGTGGTTTGCGCGCCAAAACCATGGCGGGAGATTAGACTTCGCCCGTAAAAGGCTTTCAGAGTGGACTAGCGCCCTTTCAACAAGCTTGCAGCCATTCTTTGCGAATGCCAGCCTCGTGTCATGTGAGATACCATCCGAGTGAATCAATCAAAGCACGGCAAGCAAAGATCAGTAGGTCGGCACCAGGGGCTGACACATTTCGGCTTTGCACGTGTATCCCAGGCACCCCGTGCACAAGTTTGCCAAAGTTTGTTCTATCTTTAACTTTACATTTGGGCCGTGCGCCTCCAAAATTGTGCAGACAATCCGATGGCGAACCATCTTGCTGCGCCGCTTCCTGTCATGTCAGCTTCGCAGCGGCTTGGCGCAAATTCTGCTTGTCTTGTGCTTTCTTGAAGGCGCTCAATGGGAGATGCGAAATTGAGGCTACCCTTTGCAGGTTGGTTTAGTGGGAAACCAAAAGGCAACCGCCATTTCGGGTTTCCCCATATTTTGAGACAGCCATTTGGCTTTGACGAGGGGCCTAGGCAGCGCACGGCACAGACCCGCCCGCCCGCCCGCCCCCGCCCGCCCCCGCCCCCGCCCGCCCGCCCGCCCACCATACACGCACAGTCACTCTCGGTTTGGAGAGCCAAGGCCTTCCATGGAGGAGATGCAGCCACTGGGCACGGAGTGATGGGGTAGAGACCGGCTTGGGATGTTCTGAAGTGGTTGGTGTTCCCAATATGTTTTTGTTGGGCTGAGACGAGCCTGGGTCCCTAAAGGAGGTATGGAAATGTACCTGTTATTCCGGCAGACTGTGGTTTGTCCTGATCTTTTTTGTTGCATTGGGTGTGGCTTATCATTGGGACCCCTTGAAGTGTTTGGTTGCCTATTGGTTGTCCTTCAACCCTGTTTAAATGGGTACTCTCAAAAAGACTCCGTTTTTTTTTTATGAGCTGGAAGGACCAACAAGCCACTATGTTCCGAACCTGATTCGAAGGAGAAGCTTGTCTTTGCTGCAATTGGGCTGAGTCTTAAAGGGAGAATCATCTCCCGAGTTCTTGCACTTCGTACCTTTTAGGGCCGCTTTAGTGGTACATATCATGAAATGAGGAGTATTTGGATTGGAGGCAGCCTCTCCCAGCCAATCCAGCTGCAAACAAGTGCTGAGTTTCCTTTTCAAGTTGCTCAATCATATTTGTTGTTTTCCCTCTTTGGATTTAAAAGGGAATCTATAACTACTGGAAGTATTTTTTCTCCACTGGGGCTTAAGCAAGTGGAAGAGAAGGTTCCTTTGTTTCCCCCCAAAGCCCCAAAGACTCCCGGGGAAGTGCGGGCCTGTCCATCGGCCAGCGCCGTTGTTCCAGGCCACTCACCGCGTCAGCTACTCCAGCGCAAGCTCGGATCGCGCGACTCAGGCTCGGAATGAGCCGTGGCACTGCCGCTTATTTACTCACTTCCTGAGTTCCTGGACTATATGCTTTGTTGGGCGGACCGTTTTTGTGGCAAACAAAGTTTGCACGTTTTTTGGCCAATCCACTCAGGAAGTGAGCTTAAGGGTTGATTCCTCGTTCAACCACCGCTTAAGCGGGAATGCTGCAGGTTGTTGGGGCATGTGGTGTCCAAGTCTCGGTTTCTGCGGACAACAGCATGCACGTCACAGGTTCGCTGTTTCTGGGGCAGCTGGGGGGAGTCTAGGGGTTGGTTCCTTTCCATTCTTCTCAATCACCTGTCTCTCGAACAAGGAATTTGCCGTTTTGCATTGCTCAAACGTAACTTCGTGCATGCACACGCAGACACACAGGCACACCAACACACACGCACAAGCGTGTCCACACAATTATAATCACACACACACAAACACAAACACAAACACAAGCACACACACACACACACACAAACAACACACACACACACACTCTGACAAATAAACACAAGCACAAACCCAAACAACACACTGTCTCTCACACCCGCGCACACCCGCATGCACGCACCTCCATGCACACAAGCACACACGCGCATTCCCGTTTTGAAGGCTGCAGTTCTTTTGGAAAGCGTGCCTATAGGTTGGGCTTTGCAATTAACCCAGTTGAGTTTTGGAGTCAAACTGGTTGGTGCTTGGAGTTGAACCCGTTGAGCTTTCGAAAGCTGACTGGGCCTTGGAAAGTGGGCCCCTACATCATGCTACCCCTAACTTTGCCTTGCGATGCAGTCATGTTAGCTTGCTTTCTAATAAGAGGAACTCCAGCTTGTGGTGGTGCAGTGGGTTACACATCCAGGGCATCGCTCTTTCGAGCTGGTCTGGCCAGTCAGATCAGTGTTTTAACCGGCGGGTTGTGGGCTGCCTAAGTCTGGCCAAGGTCAGGTAGCAATGTGAACACGTTTTTGCTGGCAACGTCTGGTTTGCAGCAACTACATTATTTAAGGGCTGCCGCCCAGTGCCGCCGACCCCTGGATTTAGTTGGTGTTTTCGAGCAACCAAAAACAGTGCCCTTGGTTTTGGTTTCTTTGGTTTCTTTTTGACCCAAATGGCATCTGAGGCGAGGTGCCGTTTCGACAGTGATGCGTAGTCATGATTATGATCATCGCTGCTGGAGATGCTGGGGATGCGTAGTGATGATTATCCTCATGATTGCCAGAGATGCTGCGAATGATGCGTAGTCATGATCATCGCTAGGCACCCTTGGTAATGCAGAGGATGCTACGATGATAGTTATCATGACAGTCATCCGCAGCTTTGGTAATGCAGAGGATGCTACGATGATAGTCCACAGCTTTGGTAATGCAGAGGATGTTACGATGATAGTTATCATACGAGTCATCTTCATCATTGTCATCATGATTGTCATCATTATCATCATCTCTTTCTTCTATCTTTCTTCTATATACGAAGATGAGGGCTGGTAGCATCCTCTGCATTGCCAATGGGGTCACTTTTGAAATGCATAAGAATAAGAATAAGAATGAGATGATGATGATCATAATGATGATGATGAGAAGAGCGATGACATCATAATAAGGATGATCATGATGATGATTATGATGATAATTATCATCATAACACCTTTGCATCACCAGTGCTGCCTAATAAGAGATGATGATGACATCCTCGGCATCACCAGTGCCGGCTAATAAGAGATGATGATAACCATGATGATAGTGATGATGAGGATGAGGACTGTGATGATAAGTATCGTCGTAGCATCCTCTGCATTGCCAATGGGGTCTAACGTTTCTTTTGAAATGCGTATAAGAATAAGAACAAGAATGAGATGATGATGATCATGATGATGATGATGAGAAGAGCGATGACATCATAATAAGGACGATCATGATGATGATTATGATGATAACTATCATCGTAACACCCTTTGCATCACCAGTGCTGCCTAATAAGAGATGGTGATGACCGTGATGATACTGATGACAAGGATGAGGACTGTGATGATAACTATCAGCATCATCAGTGCCGGCTAACAAGAGATGATGATGACCATGATGATAGTGATGATAAGGATGAGGACTGTGATGATAACTATCATCGTAGCATCCTCTGCATTGCCAATGGGGCCTAACGTTACTTTTGAAATGCATATAAGAATAAGATAAGAATAAGAATGAGATGATGATGATCATCATGATGATGATGAGAAGAGCGATGACATCATAATAAGGATGATCATGATGATGATTATGATGACAACTATCATCATAACACCCTTTGCATCACCAGTGCTGCCTAAAAAGAGATGATGATGACATCCTCGGCATCACCAGTGCCGGCTAATAAGAGATGATGATGTTGAAGGATATAGAAATGATGATGATGATGATGTTGACGATAAGAATGATGAAGGATCATATCGATGATGATGATGATGATGATGATGATGGGCATCCGTATGATGCCAGTAGTCATTTGCTTGCCTCAAAGATCAATCCATGCGCTTGTACTGCAACCACCCTTCCCGTGCGCCTCCCCTTTGAGGAGAAGGGGTCGGCGGACATACTACATTCTCACAGGATCCCGAACCCACCGTCAACGTGTGTTGCGTAGTGCGTTGGTCATAGGATCCTCAAGCCCTGTTCGGGTGGCAAACCTTGCCGGGAGTGCGGGGAGTTGGGCGGCCAGGCAATCCATTTGCTGCAGGTGTTCAGACTGATTAGTTTGCTCATAGTCTCCCTTGCGACATCATCCCGAAAGCCGTCTATATATATATACATATCATATCAGAGAAATATAGATACTTGCGAGCTTGGAACTGCCCTCAAAGATATCAGGGTTCTTCCGAACCTCAACCAATCAACAAAACTACAAGGGTAGACAATCCCTTTCAGTGGGGGGTCACTTTCGGATGGAACACCCCCCTGTGAATGCGAAGGGTTTATGAAATCCGGCGGCACCAGGCGCCTTTGCTCGCCACTGGCGATTCTCCTCACGGCGCTGGCCATGACCCTGGCACTTGCGACCGCGCCCATCTCCGCCGTGTCCAATCGCCTGCGGCGATCGGCCCAGGCGCGGTTGGTTTCAGTGGGGTGTTTGCATCGCCTCGAGCAGTTTTTTTTTTGTATTTATTTTATTTATTTTTTTTAATCAAACAAAGAGAACTTGGGGTGTCTATATTTGTGAACGTCGTCTTCATACAGGCTTGGATATCATCTATGAAGTGAGAAACTTTGGAGTCTTGGTGAACATTCTTGATTTCAAAATAATGGGGGGGGGGTTCTCAATCATAGGTTTGGTTGTCCTTTGTTATCCCCCTTTACATCTCGCCTGAAACGGAGGACCTTGGGTTGAGATCTGTGGCAACTGTTTGTGCGTCCCTTTGCTTTCCTTTGTTTACTCGCGACTTGCGCACGTGAACGCCGAAACCAGGAGTTGCCGTTTGAAGATTTGGGAGGGAATTCGAGGGACCCTGTTGAAGAGAGTTTCGATTTCAAGTCTGTTGATGGGAAGTCACCTGCTGCCAATCCAAACCATCAAGGGGGAAGCTGGCATTGCCGTTGGGGTGCCCATCCAAAGAACGAGAGTATCATTTGGGTGTTCAACTCACCTCACCTAGTAGGTAGGTTATAACCATGGTTATAAGGGGACGGTCACCCCAGCTACACCAATTATAATTATAACCATAATTACCGACAAGGGGCTTCCCCGAAAGCAAGCTAGTCTTCCAAAACCCTCGGATCGTCTGCTTCCCTGATCGTTGGAGGGAGTGTATAACCTACTTACCTGCCGTTGGTTGAAGATCCTTCTTCATCCCCCTTAGCTTCCCTGGTTTCAAACCCACTTTACAAGGGGCACATACCCTTTTTGGGTCTTTGGGGTATGAAGATCCTCTCGGCCTGTGCCGACTCTGGAAGCGTTTTGAGGATCTCGCCGTGACACGCCTGGCGGAAGCCGTGGTGGAGGACGTGCCGGAAGGATGCTTCAAGCGCCTCGCTCCCTTTTGCTCACGCCCGGATGCTTTTTCTCGTCGCTCCTATCCCTTTAGAATCCACCACCAATGGGTTTGATGGGTTTGTTTTTCGGAGGAAAGCGTTCATTCCGTGTTTTTGTCTTCTTTTTGTCACCCCTCAATTTGGCCTTCCTGCCTGGGCTTTCCCGTGCCGAAAAGGATGCCCCTTTTTCCCGTGAACTCCGCCGGATGTTTGGGGTCCAGCTTGAACCTACGGGCCTTGGACCGTTTTCCTCCGCTTCATTTTTGATGGGAGGGCGCCAAAAGTTGAAAGGCCCTGTGTCTGTCAAAGTTCGACCCATGGAAGCAAACCAACTTGCACCGCAGGCATTTCCGCAACGTTTTGTTTATTGAACTGTAGGGCCCTCATGTCGCATACAAACAAAACAGCGGGTTTTCAGCCCATGCCAGCCATGCAACCTGCCTGGAAACCTCCCCGCCCCAAATTCCGGATTGCCACCCCCCTTCCCTGCTGCGAACGCGGAGCAGCATCCTTGCCGTCAGCGAAATGAGACAGGCGGCCTGTTTTAAATCCACTGCCGGCCTCTTCAATGCCCATGGTTTCACATGGGATGGAGGTTAATCTTGCGACCAGGCCCTCAGTTTCTTTCGGGGTTGCCTGGCAACCAGGCAGGGCATGTACTACGGGAAGCCTTTCAAGATGCAGGGCAGCAAGCGCACGGTAGAGGCAGATCCGGTCTGTCGAGCGCCGGCACCTCTCCGTTCTGACACCACTCCATCAACTCTTAAGGTTTTTTTGTTTGGGAGTGGGCGTCCCTGTGAAACCAAGTACCGACAAAAAGGCTGGCAAAGTTTCCCATGGCTAGGGAAATGGGTTTGAGACAACTGCCCCTGCAGCCCAAACAGGGGGATCCCAAGGAAAAGGATTGTGCAAATGTCTCTATGAACTGGGTGAGGTTGACCGACTCCCTATAAACGTTTGTGTTGTTTATTGTTTTTAGTATTATACTATTAGAACAGGGAGTCACGCGCCAGGTATTTGCAGGACCTTTGTTTGGACATTTGGATTTGAGGGCCTTGTTGAGGGATTCGGAATGGCATTGTCCCTACAAAGTGGGCGCACTTGCGAGAAACCCTATAACCAGACGGCCCCCAAAGGGGCTGAAGTTTGGAGCCCCCTGAGGGGTTGAAGCCAAAACGGGACGGTGCAGAGTGACAGATATTTCCAGGCCCAAGGCTTGGACATGGGTCGGGCGCAGCCCGCTCAAGGCCCATGCTTGCATTCCTGGGCTCCGAGGTCCAAGGATAGCGTCAAATCGTGGAAAACTGGTAAGGCGCTTCCTTCCGTCCTTCGGTGTTCCAACCATTTTTCACAGCCACAAGCCAACCCGTCGGCCCGAAAGCCGCTCCTTTCTTTCCGGCTCTTTGCTTTTCTGGCCGGCTTTTTTGGGACACATCTGTGTTTTATTTCTCTGGAACACACAAATAAGGCGACTTATCCAGCTACCCGGAAGGGATTTGCTTCGGCTTTGGGTTCCCTGAGCGGCGTTTCTCCACGCCGCCCCGCCGCTTTTGGAATTGGAAGGCGTCACCTCGGGACTGCCAGCTGCGGTGCCGGAGAGACTACAAGTGACGCCCGGCATGGGCTCATGGCGGTCCTGTGGCTTGGAGGAACCCTCGCACGAGCCAACCAAAAACCAAAAAGGAACCCATGGGACAGGACCAGCTACGGCTCCTATGGCTTCTCTTCTTAACACTAACCACAAAGAAAGCCAAAGCCAGGTTTTTTTGAGTGTTTTTTTTTTGGGGGGGGGTCCCAAAAGAGCCAGGTGACGCGAAATCCAGCCAGTTCGCACTACTCACTTGCCCAAAGGACCCAGAAATCAGGGAAAACTCAAAGGTCAAAAGGACGGGAATTTGGGCAAGTGAGCCTAAGAAACCCAATGGAATAGTGGAATGATTCGATTCCCCAACGTAAATACCAAACATGCATTCTGGTTTCAAGCATGGTTTCAAAGTGGCGCAAGCGGATGTCGTCCATCCACAGCATGGGTTCTCATGGCGGAACCCTCCTAACACTCGCTTGCCCAAACCAGTCCGCGCGACTTTGTAGTTCCCCCCGTGTTGGTCCATGTTGGGTCGTGGTCCCAAAACATTGCTGTGACCTTTAATTGTTGGGTCCTTTGGGCAAGTGACAACTGGCTTCCGTGAGCCAACCGGAAATTCTTCAATGAATAGGGGTGTCGGGCCCCACAAAAGTGAAGGATTCCCACTAGCAGAGGACACCCTTCTATGAGTCAACCAAAGGTTTCTTAGTCTTGGAGTTAACGCTACACTCCAAATAAAACCCACCCACAACTTCCCGGGAAAGCGAGAGCTCAGGCGCCCAGTTCAGCTGGTGGCCGGATGGCGGCTGCTTGCTCACCGACGAGGGGTCCATCCTGGAGGCTCGGGGAGTCGGGCTGGGGGTTTTGGAGCCGTGGAGAGACTGGGAGATGGGAGAGGCTGTTGGAAGCGTAGGAACACTTGGAGAAAGAGGTGCATACTGCCTGTTGCAAGCGTTTGGTGGAGTATCGGCATTTATTTCTTCCAAACTCATACGGGAATTGCCCTTGAGCATGACCTACCCCATCCCAATCCCATAAAGTGTTTCGTGGAGGTTTCGGGTGGTGCTTCCTGAGCTGCTGGGTACTGCTGGCAGGTCACTGAGCCTGAATTGATAAAGATATGTGTTCGGGACCCCAGCGCTGTTTGGATCCCTGAGTTAAATTGAGTTTCATACCGGGAGGTATGTAAAATATGGCTTGGACAGTAGGCCTTGTCACCGAGCTTGGCGGAAGCCCGCCTGGCCGCTGGAAGAGACCTTGACCTCAGAATTCCCATCAACCTGCGGATTCGAAAGCCCAAAGCACTTGGAAGGAGGTCGAGCAATGTGGGGGTGTCGTTTATTTACATTGTTGAGTGATTTCAATTGCGAACTCAAGGAACAACAATTTTGGGGTGTCCCCGATTTTGAACCCTATGTTGACCCGGATGAATGTGGAAGACTCTGGACAAATGCGGCGCTGCATAAAATACCGGCAGGAGTGCATGCCATTCGACAACTGCGACCACTTTGATCCCCATCCCATAAGTGAAGGGTGGGCCCCGCGGCCCCCGCTATATGCAGGGGGGCCGAGTTTGGCAGGTGGTTCTACTGCCTTGGTGTACGGGGGGGTTTTCTGAACCTCTTCTGCCATCTCTCGGCACTCGATGCCTTTCGACTGAGCATTTCGCTGGGTTTCTAAGTTCGTTGTGGGGCGGCTTCAAATTAGTACTATTATATAAGGGCATTTGGAGGATCCGTTTCCTCTCGAGGGACCCCCCCTACCAGGACCTAGAGCCCAACGTTTTTAGGCGCGACGGGTTTTGGCCATTTTTTGTTGGGCGCCTTTGGTGCCATGGGATGCAGGGTCTAGAGCCCTGCAGGCCACGCCCTTCAAGTGGTCCGGCGTGGTGGTCGGCCCTCGGAACTGCCAAGACCTCACCGCCTTCGAGGCCGGTCGCCGGAGGTTTTGGTCTCGGGTCCCGTTGTCGGTTTTGACTCCCTGAGTTCCGTTTTCGACTTGACGCACTTTCTGGGTTTGGTTGCCATCAAAAGTGGCAGTCGCAACGAGTTTGGTCACTTTTTTCGCATAAGCCACTCAGGAAGGGGGGCCCTTCTGATTTTCCTCAAATTCCAGCTGAGATCGGTAGCCGCGAAGATTAGTGCTGGAAAGCCGATCAGGAGAAGTAAGGTAAAGGGTGGGTTACCGGGCAGGATGCGATCAAATCGAGTAATGTTGACCCCGGATTAATAAACCTGTCCCATTATTAGGGTGGTCGTCCCTCCAAAAGTGATGAATCCCCACTAATTAAAAGGGGACACCCCCCTATTAATCAACCAGGCGTTTATGATTCTGGGGTCAACATTAACACGAGTTCACACGACCTCTACCTAAGGTGCCCAAAGCACCAGTCGCTTGCCTTTGAGCAGCTTTGAGCCATGCGCCAAGTTGAAATGACGACTATCCGACAAATGGCTGTGCCTTTGTGTAGGGGATGCGCCCCCCCAGACTGGTGGTTTGGCTTCCCTTCAACACCAAGGGGTACCCTAAAAATAAGACAGATCCAAATGTCGTTCCAAACATGACTGATGTGTTTTCCACTTTGCCACAAAGTTTGCTTGTGCACTGTTGAACCAATTCTCAGCAGGGACTGAGAAATGGAATGCCCCGAATTAGATCATCCCCTTCCACCGGTTCACTCGCAAGACCCAACTGGGACATTCCTTCCCTACCTATGCAGCCAAAAGTTTTCTCGGCCCGCACGAGCGGAGCGAGCGGCCGGCCGGGAGGCTGCGACCTTGGTGGAAGGCAAGCGGGGCGACGCCTTCTGCCACGGGGAGGCGCTGCTGGAGGGCCCGTCCGCAGGCGGGGCCGCGGTCCGAGCCGAAAGCCTCCCACCTTCGGCTCGGCGGACGGAACCGGGAAGAGGCGGGCTGAAGAACCACCAGTTGAACAAGTCATCGCACCCGACTCGGCTTCCTGAGAAGCCAGAAAAAATGTGGTTGACACAATCCTGGCTTCATTTGGAAAGCGGTTAGCCCGAGCCTGGTGAGAAGGGTTGGGCGGACTCATCAGGATGTTTGGCTTTGGTTAGTCCGTTTTATGACTCAACAATGGGATTGTAATTAGCCCAAGCAGCAAAGGCCCTCTGTAGTGTTGACCCCGGATGAGTCAACCTGCGAAATTTGTCCAGTGCTTTCTGAATCTTGTGTCAATGTATGGGGCTGGTTCTATATTGGTGGGGGATGTGGTGGGAACATGTCGCACTTTAGCGATCTTACCGTGTGGTAAGAGACGAGCTCACAAATGATAGAAGTCGATTGCACGAGGCTTCATTGCTTCCAACTCACCACCCGAGCTACTGGACTTTTACAATTTGCAAAGGCTGTTTTTCGTGACACTCAGAAAGTTTAGACATTTCTTGGCCCATCCACTCGATCGGAAGTGAGCCAACTAGATGTCCAGTCTACAAATGGCGACGTTTGCTTGCAGGTGTTGGCCTGGGCGAAGGGGACTCGCGCCAAGTGCCATGGTTTCCCCAAAGTTGATAAACCACTCGCGATTTTTTTGGTGTGGTCAAGCTCCCCGTAAACCGTAGGCCGTCATAATATCCAGAGGAATCCGTCCGTGACCATCCCTGCGCCCAGGAAAGCATGTCGTCTTTTCATGTGGCTAAAAAAATGGCACCCAAGAATAGCACCTTGGCATATGGAAGCAAAGACCAACACCTGCGGTTTGCTTCAGCATGGTTTTCCCCGCACCCCTGGCCAGCACCCTGCCGTTTCACATCCCCAGGCCTGTCTTATTGCATGGAGTCCTGCGACGGTGGCCTGGCATGAAAAGGCCCTGCCGGGTCCCTGGCGTTTCCTGGCACGCTTACAATCACTGCCCCCAGAAGTAAAACGATCCCCCCCAATAGTGGTGGTGGCTCTTTTTTGGTTGCGTTTTTGCAACCATGTTCAGTGGTACCCTGTGTCCTTTTTGTCCTTTCTCTTTGGCGGGGTTGCCCTTTGTTTTACCACCCCAAAAGGGTGCCGTTAACAACGACGCACCCGGATACCCAAGAAGTATGTGGTTGTTAATTGTTGTGGCACAGCCACCTCAGCAGCGTTAGCTTTGACAGATATGATATGTAAACCTTAGCCTAGGTTTCTAACCATTTAGTAACTGGGCGAACATCCAAGTGATGTCCTGGTGCACTTTTGCGGCTGCGCTAAAGTTTCTCAAAACAGAAACTCGAGTTTTGGATGCTCCACAAACGTTCCCGCAGGTTTTTGAATACCAGTGCAAACAGCTGGTTTGGTTCGGTCACCTGTTTAGATGTTTAGTTTGGTGGGGGTGCAATCTGACCTATGCTTGTCAACTTTGGTGTTCGGGCCGAGCTAGAAAGTGGTACAAGTCACCCAAATGGTGTTAGCCTTGGTTGTATTGGATTGTAACTGTAACCACAAAAAGAACGCTTCAATCTTCCCCCCAAACATGGGGCTGATCAAACCCTGGGGCGTTCTTTGGGGGGTGGTAGGGTCACTGATTCTACTCTCTGACCAAAGCGAAAGGGTCGCTCTCGATGGCCGAATCCTGATTGCAACGCACGCACCAGTTGGAGCCCCCCCTAATGTTTGTGAGCCAAGTGGCAATCCTCAAAAGGTGTAGCTTTTTGTTGGTTGGCTTTAAGCGCAACATCAACGGGACAAAACATCATCTTGGTGGTCCCTAAAAACAAGGCACGCGCATTTGTTTAGCGAGGCAAATCGGCCGCGATGGCGCGTTGTCGTAGAAATGTTTTGTTGTTCAGCTGATTCTGCACCAATGAGAACGAGCTCGGGCAATGTCCTGGAGCTTCCTTGTTCTAGCTTTAAGTTGAGTCCCGCCAATCAACATGGAACCTGACCCCTTTAAATTAAAGGGACCGGGTCCCTGTCAGGTTCCGTGTTAGGGTTGCGGGTGTGTTCCGTTTTTGCCAAGCTGAGGTTTGCCAAAGAGCCTTGCCTGCAATCCCGCTGAGAGTCCATGCCGCAGAAGAAGCGTTCATTTCATTTGGGTTGGAAAAGCATAGTTCAGATGTTCCTGAAGGAACCGGACCCTCCGACCACCAGCGCCATGAGAAAGACATGTTTGGAGGTGTGTTTGGAAGGGAAACTTCTATGGCCTTGCCAAGGGGATCGGCCTGGTAAGTTTGAGGGTGTCAAGGTATGGGTAAAAAATGGGGCAATCCCCCGGATTGGTTGCCCTGCAAAATGGAAGCAAGGACTAAAACCTTCGCCCCCCTGGCGGTTTCATGTTGACCAATACCCGTTCAGCTTGGCGTTGAAGATTTTACAGGCAGATGGCTCCAACGTGAGCCAAGTGAAATTGTCTACGAATCCCAGCCCCTTCAAAATGGAACTGAGGGAGGGTGGTGACCCCTGAATTCCATTTGCATTGCCACTTTCCTTTTGGTGGGGCATTTCAGTCAAGGTTCCGAAAGGTTCTCGCCTTTTATTTTTAGGCCCTTGGCCGAACATCCAAGCAACTTCTTATCAGTTCCACTGCAAGCCCACCACTTGGCGGCTGCGCTTGCGGCCCTTGAGATGCCCCGAGGTGCAACTACTTCAGCCTGTGGTCCACCGGAGATGAGCACTGGTGCCGCCTCACCCAGCACTGCCAAGACGTGGAACGCCAAAAAGGGCAGGTGATCACCATCTACAAGAGGCCGAAGCACATCGGGTTTCGCCCAAAGGCCCGGTATAGTTTCATCTTTGGACTGGGGTCGACCTCTCCTTCGAGTGTTTTTGGGGGTAAGGCCGGTATGGATTTCTATTTTTGGACTGGGGTTCGTTCTCTTTCGAGTGTCTTTGAGGGTGAATGCGGTTAATGTTAACCCTGGAGTGTTTTTGGGGGTTAATGTTAACCCTGGATGATTAATAGGGGGGTGTCCCAATTATTTTAGTGGGGATTCATCACTTTTGGAGGGAACCCCCCTAATACTGGGACGGGTTTATTAATCCTGGGTCAACATTATCAAAGTTAGACACACAACCGACCCCGACAACACACACACACACACACACACACGCACAGTCATGTTTATGCATGCTATGATTTGTTTTGCAGTTGGAACGCCTGATGAAATGGTTTGGACACGACATGCATCTCTATGTCAAAGATATGTATCGAACCATCCCCATTAGACTGCACGCCCACATGGGGGATCAAGGGGAGTAACTACGTGCTTTGCAGTGTTTTGCGGGCGGGTTTCACACAATAAAATCTCTTTCTCTTAGCATCCCGATGGGGACATGACTGTGGAACATTGAGTGTAGGGCAGCCACCTTTCAATTTTGATGGACCCTAGCATTTTCTTTTGGTCCCATTCTGGCGCATTCAAGACACAAGCCGGGTCATGATTCTGAACAAATGGTGTGTTGGTGTGCCATGTCCTGTGCTACACAGTGAATTCCTTTCCAAGCGTAGGGATGGCCAACTTTGGGACATTCCGAGGCCCAAGAACCCACCATTTTCAGGGTACGGATGCTTTTGGCCGTCTTTTTGGGTTCCTTCCGGTACTTTGTAGGGGATCCCAGAAAAGTCTCATTGCCACCCTCCTTTCTCGAAGGCGTGAGGTGGCGCTGCCGGGGAACCCTCTGGAGCCGGCGCGACCCTTAGTCGGTGCTTTGCCTCGGTTCGGAAGCCACGTTCGGGGTACCTTGAATCCAGCAATCATCGGGGAGGCGGCGCGATTTTGTTGATTTGAGATTGGCTAATTATCAATCGGAAGACTCTTGTGAGGGCTGTGCTTCGGGGGTTCAGAATTGTCGTAGGGCGTTGTTTCTGATTAGGCCGCATTTCAGGCATCCAACCAGGCAGCCAGCCAGCCAGCCAGCTACTGGAGCGGGCTGGCAGATTCTTTAGAAGTCTTCTGACTAGGCCTAGGCATTCGGAAATTGAAGCCCAAGGAATGGGACCCTTCATGAAGCAGGGCTCCAGAAGCCGATGAACCGACCCCCGATTTGGTTCTGCACGGTTTATTGACCCGGGTCGGATTTAAAGAGCCGTTGCTCACCTCTACTCACTTCCTGAGTTCCTGGACTTTAAGCTTTTTGGGAAGACCATTTTGGTGGCAAGTAAAAGTCCAGGCCTGTTGGCCAATCCACTCCGGAAGTGAGACTAAAATTACTTGTGCAAAAACTGTGAAGTCCAGCAACTTGGGGCGTGTCTTTTGAATCATGTAGTGCAGCAGCTGGACAAACACGCATATAGATGAATCAGCATGATCCACTAATGCCAAGAACAAGGCCTCCGAAGTAAAAATCCTTCACGGATCAAGAAGCGGTCAGCATGAAATCCCCTCCCCTGTGAACCCGTGATCTGTTGCCAAGTCCTTTTGAAGGTGTGCCAAGCAGGATGATTAAACCAGTAATGTGGGGCATGCTGCCTTAGTCTGGCCCCAAGAGGACAAGTGCAAAATGAGTTTAAGCAATCAGGCTTGGGCCCCCTGTCAAAGAACACCCCAAAAGTGATTGCAGTAAGTCTGCCGGGGCGCACCTGAATCCGAGCCCATTTCTCTTTCTGAGGTGTACTTAGCTGGGTCTGCCCAAATCAAAGCTCAAATCTGGTTCATTGGTTAAGGAAGGGGGTTCCTTTTGGTTTGAAATCTAAACATATATGCGTGAAGAGCTGGAGCGGCTGGGCTTGTCGAACCCAAAAGGAGGGCGAAAGGACAAATGATCAAAGCATATCAAGCCTAATTAAAAATGCTCCCACCGATTTCTTTGTGTTTTCTCCTATCACCCTTTGGGGATGTTTTGTTTTTGTTTTGGGGGGGGAGTGTCCACTAGTTGCAGGCCTCGGCAGCGAAGCTGTTGCCAGTCGTCCTGGAGCGGGCAAAGGCGCGACTTATGGCGCGATGGGCGGAGCTCGCAGTTTGGTGTGCATGGGGGCGGGGCGGGGCGGTGTGGGGCGGAGTGGGGCAGGGCGGGTGGGTAGGCGAGTAGGTGGTTGGGTGTTGGTTGGTCGGTCGGTTGGTGGCTTGGTGGGTTGGTTGGTTGGTTGGTTGGCTGGCTGGCTGGCGGGTTGGTGGGTGGGAGGGTGGCATGGTTTGGTTGGGTGGTAATTGGGCCGACGTAGGCGTAGTTGTTGTGTTGCTATGTTGCGATGCTGCATTGTTGTGATGTTGCTGTTTCTGTTGCTTAGTTACATCGTCAGAAGTGATATGTCATGTTGGAGTCCTCAAGAAGCACATGCCCGTTTGTCCAGGCAACCTCCGTCTGTTCCGCCTTTTCAGCTATCAAACAATCGCTTAAGGCGAGGTGCTTTGACGGGGTTCTCAGAGGTCGGATTTGAGTAGAACCTTGGTGTGCGTCAAAATCGGGGACTGAAAAGAGTACTGGGAAACCCGGATCAAGAAACCTTTGTGGTTGATTCGTAGGATGGGGGGTGTCCTCTTTGAGTGGGTAATTAGTTCATTATCACTTTTCGGGGAACACCCCCTTAGAAAAAACGACGGGTTGATTAATCCGGGGTCAACATTACCCACCAAAAAGATACAAATCCACCTGACGGTTTCGCAAGGAGCCGGATTCGCGCTCCGCCAGGAGAACTTGCCTGGCATCAACGGTACCAGCTGCGCCGCCTACCCGGGGCCCCGTGGCAAAAACAAATCCGGGGGGGTTAAAAGGGCGATGGCAGAACCCTCCTCCCCGATCCCAGTCAATTGTTTCCCAACTGGTTTTAGGGGGTGGGGACCATCGCCGAAGCGGAGGTTCCCAAAATTGAGGTTCGGTCAGAATGTTGACTCAGTTGCCCGAAGCCGATGTTTTGACCAATTGCTTTTCCCGTTTTGGTCGATGTGCATTCAGAGTCATGGCCCCGAAAGGTCAACCTTTTGTTTGTGGGTGCTTTGGGCAACTGAGTTCATTGGTAGCTTTCCTTTTGAATCTGCAGAGGAGGCTGTTCTTTCATCCTTTTTCTTTGCATAGTGGGGGTGAACAACTAACTCATGCAATGCAACTAAGTCTTCCAAAGGGGCGGGACCCATGGCTATTTGCGGAGCTAAGGCGCCAAGAGTCCCAGGAGAGAGGGACAGAGACAAGCTATCAGCTTCCCCAACTGGTGGTTTGGAGGTTGGTGGAAACCCATCCACGAGCGGTTGAAATTCCCAACCAGTCCAGACCAAATTCAGGATTGCCTGAAGCTAAGTCTTACTCTAAGTCTTCTCACTCCCGGAGTTCCTGCATTTTTGCAACTTTTCAGGTTTGGGCCGTTTGAGTTGAAAGTTACTTGTTTTAGTCAATCTACTGAATTGAGTCTTCCAAATATGTCAAGGTAGTATCCCCAACAGCCCCGGAATCCCCCGGAACCTCCCCAAAAAAGCTGGCCCAAACTACTCCTTACCACCTATCCTGGCATATCGACCCCATAGCTTTCAGCTGCTGGAAAAACAGGTGGGGTCTTCCTTGGACCCGTGTTGCCTTCACATAATATTTTTGTTTCACCTAGGAACAAGCGAAAGGTCTTCATCGAGTCGCCTGACAGCGGCAACCAGCCCGCGAGGTGTGTGGCCATGGGCTTGCTGAAGGGCAACTGCTGCCCTGATGGTGAGCATGATGCTCGGCGCGAGAAAAACACTCGCTCCTCCAGTAGAGAGGTTAGAATAAGAGTACCCTTTTTTAGGGGAACCCTCCCCCGAAAAAACAAACGGTAAAAGGGCATTACTGGGGGGGACCTAGAAGAAAACGAGGGCAAAACATCTTTATTGAAGTGAGGCTCGGGGGGATAAAGGTTGCTTACGCACGCATTTGTCAGCCAGGCTTTCACTCCGGTGTCAACAGAACCACTTATCCTGTGTTTATATGTCTTGCGTTCTATGCCTCTGGGGCCTACCCGCTTTGGGAAGACCTTTTTGGGCCCATCGGACGGTCAATAACCGAACACTAGGCGGGTTCAAAGAAGTGTTACCCTACCACAAACTACTGACTCCCGGAGCTTCTGAACTTTGCATGTGTGGATCCTTTGGGAAGACGACTTCGTGGGAAACAACCAGGAGCATCCGGAGAAAAATGTGACTTGTCGTCTTTTGCTTCTGTCTCTCCACTTTTCGAGAATCCCAGGAAGTGAGTTGTAGGGAAGCTGAAGGAGGCCCCTTGATTGGCCCCCGTTTTGCTCACTGCCCCTTGCACCGTCTTTCGCTACCATGCGTTTTCGATTCGGTGACGGGGGCGGGATCCCATCATATTCTCACTCCCTGAGTTCCTCAACATTATAATCTTTGTGGGAAGACCAGTTTAGTGATAACAAAAAAACAAAACAACAGTCTGTCTTGGGCCTATCCAATCGATCTGAAGTGAGTATTTCTCCATGGGATCCTATGGCATAGCTGCCTGTTTTATTGCGAGCTCACCTGGTACAATGAGAATATGAAAAACGTCCCTTCGTTCAGCTTATGGAGTTCTATATTCCAAAAAAAAAACATCGCTTCGAGCAATCCCCACCCTCCACACTCACGAGCTTACGACCGTGAACACGGTTGTGTGAATTCAAGCAGGGCCTATGGCTGCTCAACAAGCTTTGCGTTGAGAGCCTTATCCACCTGTCTGCGTGTCAAACTCCACTTATCTGCGAGCCGACCTCGAGAACTCAAACATCGGTTCCGTTAACAAAAAGCCAAGCCCCTTCCAAAAAGAAACCTGACGGGGGATTAAGCGAGGTTGCTTATTCACAACCCAAAGCAACACAAAAGCATCGCCCTTTCCGAGCCTCAGGGCACACTCAAAAAACGAAGAGGCGCCAACATGATATGTAAACCCAGCTGTTCGCCGGGCGGGACATTAAGCAACACCAGACTGGCGAGCTGCTCTGGCGGGATACTGGCGGGATCCACTTGGCGACCCGCTCCGGCTCGATACTGGCCGGATACTCGGCGGGATCCACCGGCAAGGGACACTCAGCGGGATACTCGGCGGGATCCACTGGTGAGCTACTCCGGGATACTCAGCGGGATGCACTGGCGGGCTGCTCTGGTGGGATACTCGGCGAGATCCACTGGCGAGCTACTCTGGCGGGATACTTGGCGGGATCCACTGGCGAGCTACTCTGGGATACTCGGCAGGATGCACTGGCGGGCTGCTCCGGTGGGATACTTGGCGGGATCCACTGGCGAGCGACTCTGGCGGGATACTCGGCGGGATCCACTGGCAAGCTTTTTCTGATATCCTGAGCGGGATACTTGAGGATTGGAAGGAGGTGCGCAAGAAGGTCCAAGGTTAGGACCAAGCTTCGAAACCACTGGAACAAGCGGAAGGAGCTGGACAGAGCCACTCATCCGGGTCATTCGGTCGAGGCGGCTGCCCCCGCGGGCTCCCCTCCCAATGCTCCCACAATCTCGGTCGATCACTCGGGTCATTCGGTCGAGGCGGCTGCCCCCGCGGGCTCCCCTCCCAATGCTCCCGCGATCTTGGTCGGGTCAATCCACTGGCGAGCAGCTCTGGCGGGATACTGGGCGGGATCCACTGGCCAGCTGCTCTGGCGGGATACTCGGCGGGATCCACTGGCAAGCCGCTCTGGCGGGATACTCGGCGGGATCCTCTGACGAGCCACTCTGGCATACTCAGCGGGATACTCGGCGGGATCCACTGGCGGGCTGCTCCGGTGGGATACTTGAAACGGGATCCATCGGCGGGATCCACTGGCGAGCTGCTCTGGCGGGATACGCGGCGGGATCCACTGGCGAGCTGCTCTGGCGGGATGGGCGGGGCGTGGTGTAGAAGTTCAAACGCGGATTCCAACATAAAATCTAACAACCCCTTCGTGTCGGGTGGGGAAAAAAACAGAGGAGTCCATCCCCTGGTTTTCTCGTTTGCGAGGTGACCTTGGAATGCTGCAGCGGCCTCCCGCCGCCCGCCTGGGAGCCCAGAGTCCGTCCAAAGCGAAGCCACCTGAAGATTTTGGGGTCCAGGAAGCATCGATTCCATTTGCTTATGTGTTTTGTATTCTCCCTTTGTTGGCTTAAAGGGAATCTAGCACTACTGGACATCAGTACTGGACATAGTGTCATTTTTCCAGAAGCATTTCTGATGCCTGAAGCGAACCCACCTGAACTTTTCATTTGATGATCTCACATTTTGCTTAGTTTTCCAACCCTTTTTGCCGGTTGGTCGGGATTCCAAAAGGAGAACCTACTTCTGGGTCCTTTGGGCAAGCGAGGATGTGCTTAAGTAAATGCCGGCAGTCCGATTCCCATTTTGGTTTGGCCCCCTTAACCACATTTGCCGAGAATTGTGCCATCTACTTTTACCCTTATTCTTTTGTTTTTTCTATACACCCTAGAGTTACACCGTGGGGAAATTGGAATGGGCCGCACGTGTCAAGGACCATTCACTCGACGTCGTTTCCCTCGAACCCTTTTGAGTATGGTTCTTTACGGCTCTTTGTGTGGTTTTTAAATTTTGCTCTTGGTTCTGTTCATTTTAGTAGCCATCACCTTCACTGAGCCTTCACTTATTGTTTGGCTCTGGTCATTTTGTTGGCGAACACCTTCAGTTGTTTTTTTTGGTTCTCTTCATTTGTAGTTGCAATCATCCAGGGTTGGACAGGTTTCCCGCTGTGGTTTCACTGCAGGGGAAACCACGTTCAATCTCAAGCAAGAATGACAGAGTTAACTGGGTAGGAAGAGGGGTGTGGTAGGTTGGGTTCTGTTGAATTCCTTCTCTCAGATTGTTTTGTTGCGACCCCTCGCTCACCTAAGATGAACTGGCCAGGTGTGAAGTGTGACACCAATGCGGTTGCACTCGGCGCTTTCGAAGGACAATTCAATTTGAGAATACCTTTGCCCTCCCGACACTCATTTTAACTTCGATTCATTTACTGTAGAGGACCCTACTTGTCAGAGGAGCCCCTCTACAAATGTTCATTTCTTTTCCGAAAAGGGAATCACCCCGGATGAGTATACAATCCTGCGGAGAAATCCGAAGAGAACATTAGAAGCTCAGCTTGTTCCGCTTGCTCTATAGTCATTTGGCCCACCACACTCAGAGCAAATCGAAAAACGGCCCCACCGGGCCTGCAGTCAATTTCTAGGTGCGCGGTACGCACCTGCTTGTTGAGATCGAAGCTTTCAATGTCGCTTTAGGAGTTTGCACGTGGAGCGCAGGGATAAAACTGGCTCACGTGATCAAGGTCCCCATACCAAGAGGTTTAGGGAGAGCCCCTTGTTGGATTCCATATTGGTTTGCAGGGCCAAGCCCTTGTTTGAACCACCTTTGCTTGAAACACCTCCTTTGTTTTCTATTTGCAGGGGCCAAGGTTCGGTTCTTCAACCATGTGACCAGCCCTGCCTGAAGGGCCGAACACCTTGGTGCTTCAGGTCTTTGGAGATCCTTTTGGCCCAAACCGGCAGGCGGAGATGCTGAAGCTCCCGCGCTCGGAGTCTTGGCATTTTGGAATTCGGCTCTGTGGGTTGCGACGCTCGAGTTTTGTTTCGGTGCGACCGGGAAGAAAGACGTTCCAAGCCAGTCACTGGGCTTGCCCAATTGCGCGGAGAAGATGAAGCCTGAGAGAACGTCCTCTGAACACAGGTCCTCCGGGCCTATGAGGTCCCATCTTTGGGACGGTGAGGCCCTTTCTGGTTTGGTGGCAACTTGGTTTCCGGGAATGTTTCAGAGCTGGCTGGGCTTGAGGGAATGAGCTGGGATGGTTTCCGCCGTGAGACCAAGGGTCCCAAACATGCGAGCGCATAGGACACCTCCAAATGGAGAGTAAGGGAGCTTGCTTTGTACTTCCATGTTTGATGCAAGGGTCGTCGATTGGAAGTATCTTCAACAGATTTTTTGGGGGGATTGGTCAAAATGTGCGATGAACATAGGATGACCATCAGGGGAATCACCAATCAACATTTGACTTTTTGTCGTTGCGGCTTGCAAAGTACACTGAGGACGCGGCGCTTCTTTTGGAGGGTGGTGAAAAGCAAGTCAAAAATCGGACTCAGAAGGAAAAGGTTGGGCCCCAAAAGCAAAACAGATTTCAGTTTCATCATGGGACAAGTTACCATGGAACCCAGAAAGGGAGCTCCATTTCCCAAGAGCGGCTTCCTCTACAACTGGTGGGATTTCGGGAGTTCCACATGAGAAATGTAAGGGAGTTGGTTGAAAGAAGTCTCCAAAGTATGGCCAGACGATCTCTTGGCCCTTGTGGGCGAATTTATGGCAGATGACTTCCTTATCCAGAATGACATGGTTGGGGACATGTCAGTGGAAGCCTTAGACCATTAGGATTCGGGTTAAAAGTGGCCCTTTGTTCCATGGCCGCTGGGCTGCTGAGGCACTCCCCAAAACACTTTGGTGGTGGTTTCCCTTTAAAGTCTCTATTTCAACGTCAACCAAAAGGGGTTCCCCCCATATTGTGCTTATGGTTTGTAGATAAAGTATGGAACAACATTAGTACATATGTTATATACTACGTATTCTGTGCAGCGTACCCCTTGTGTGCACACCCAAAAGCGACCTCAGCTTGAGTCACAGGAATGCTCCGCCTTCCCTCGGTGTGTGTCAGCCAACATGACGGGCGCCTGCTGCCCCACGCCGGAGGGTGCCCTGGTTTTGAGTTTTGAGCGCTCCATGCACCGCGTCGAATCCTTTTTTGGCCGGAGGGTGGGGGGATTTGGCCTGTGGCTCACGTCCTGAGTTCCGTTTCGGACTTTAACTTTTTGGTTTTTACAATTTTAGTGGCAAACAACAAATTTGCTTACTTTTGTGGGCCAATCCTCAAGCACCCCCTGGTCTGTCTTTTGAGGCACCACAGACCCCTATGTCAGAGGTCAAAGTTTTTCTTGGCGATTCACCATGAAATTCACGGCCTAGCGGGCACTTCAGCCACAATCACCCCAGTTGTCCAGTGGGCCCCCTTTTCATTTGTTTTTGTGTTGGGAGCAGGCTTCCCTCTAGAGTCAACCAACAAAGGGGTGTTGTTGTCTGTGTGTGTGTGTGTGTTGTTTTTTCTTGTTTTTTCTCGCGGCCACTAAACCGGGTGTTTTTGTTCCCCCTGATTGCCCTGGTTGTTCCAGGTTGGTTTCTTCTTCCCCCAAAGGGGGGACAGAACCCAAAGATTTGTTCCCTTCTCAGTTGCATTTTTTGTTCGGTGGCACCCAGGCTGTGTGTGTGTTTTGTTTAAGCAGCATGGGGGGTGGTGGATACTCCTTGTAAAGCGAGCCTGCTCGTGACATGGTTTGCTTCAAATTGGCGGAACAGACCCCCACGAAGCCGACCAGGCTTCCCCAAAAACAGGCTCGCGACTCGCCACAAAAAATAGGCGGCGCTTGAATAAATCGCTCCGTCCCTAGAGGTTGCACTTTGAGGGGAATTCGAAATTGCTTGCTCGGGTGTCTCTGGCACTATTTTGGAGGCAAACTTGGTTGGATCAAATGAAGGCTGGCGTCTTTGTTCGGGAGAGAGAAGTTCCTCGGCCCATGTCAAATTGTGGAAGGATGGGAGAGAGGGGTGTCCAACAAACAGCACAGAATCTGGTGGGCAACTGGGGGTGGATCACAAGGTCCTTGATATGGGATGGCCAGGGAAGGAAGCCACAAAAAAGACGATGTTTTGCACATGGAAAAAGTTCCCCATGGTCATTTTGGGGCTGAAGAACCCCCAGGAACTGTTGGCGACCTCACAGAAAAGTTCGCGACTGCCTATGACCCAGAGAAATTCCGCTGTCAAACCCATTTGCTGGGCCGGGCGCACAGAAGTGTTACATTGCTTTGTGCCAAATATCGAATAGACAAGAAGTAATGCTAGAACGGACCCCCAAGGATACCATTGGGCTACTTAACGAGTCCTTGCAAAGCTTGCCGGTTCTCAGCAGGAAAGGGAAAGACCCCTAAAAACAATCCCCTATAGTTCCCTTTAAGAGGAACCCTAGGTTCGTTTTCAAAACCCGGAAGGTCATTCCCTACCTATCGCACCAGCAAGAAAGCAGGTGGTTGGGTGCATCCTTCCACTGCCCTCGGGGAGTTCGGAGGTGTGCGGCTGGCCTGCTGCCCCTAGTTCTGAGGCCAGCTGGATGGGAAATCAGCGGCAACTTGCAAGCACTTGCTCAGCCTTTGGGTTTCCGGCGGAGAAATGACTGGTGGACATGAAGCCCGATGCAAATTTAAATTTGATCTCCAGCGAAGGGTTATAAAAAACAACACCCCACTGAATCAGAGCGGAGGAGTTTCATGCAAGTACTTGCTGAAGCGAACCCGTGAACCTTTGTCTCACCTACTCGGCGTTAGTTGGCGCTTGCCGCTGCGAGAGCAAAGGTCTCAGACGCGGACGGGAAAATTCTAGAATTGTCAGGCCCCCCCACATGGTGACATGCAGCAGGGGTCTCCTTCAAAGACATGGCCTCGAATCTGGAATCTGAAAAACGTGTTTTTGCGTTTTTCAGGTGTGGGCTAAGAAGGGACAGAGGATTGCACGTTCATGTCGATTGACCTACATTTAAGCGCCGGGATGGGGGGCCTTGGCGACCATAGCAACAATGCTTGGATGACCACCCCACAAGTCAACACCTTTTTTAGGTATGGAGGCTTTTTTTCAGAAATGTAAGGTTGTATTAAGGTTGTATGGCAGTACGTACCCCTGATATAAGTGGCATATAACCTCCATGCTTCTCAAACAAGTGATGCTCCTGGCCTACGTTAGTAAGACTCACCCTGCAACCCACTCCACTTTTCGAATCTGCTTAATACTACTGCGCAGTTTCAGGTTCAGTACACAAGGACACGACAGTGAGCGTGCCAGTTTTTGTTGGCAAGTGCTGAAGTAGACATTTTCTTGATGTGTGCAAAATGATGTGAATTGGTTGGTCATCCAAGGAAGGTAACGCAGACTTTTGGAAAGACTTGGCGAGGCGAGAGAGGAGAAAAGCGGTGTACTGCACGGCAGGAGGCCTTCTATTTCCCATTACGATTTAAACACTACCTTGAACAAAGGTGAGGAAATTTCTCTTTCCCCACCAAAATATGGTCCGGTGTCTATGGTCCCCGCCCCCCCCCCCCTCTGGGAAGAGGGAAGGGTTCAGAGGTTGTCGTAGAAACCACGTCCCCGGGCCCCCCGTTGTGTATTCTGGTGGGGTGCTGCTTCTAGGGAACAAAGGGAGCCCTATGGCAGAGCGACATGTGCGGACCCCCAGGCTTGGATGCCGGCCCGCGGAGGATACGAAACTCCCGGTTGAGAGTCATAGGGCGGGAAATTCATTTGGTAGGCAGTCCGCCACTTTGGAAAGCTCAGGGTTGATGGAAGAGTCCAGGGTCAATATTTCAAGTCACCCAAGTGGAAACAAACAGAAAAGTACTCCCCAAGTGGGATAAAAGCGCGGATGCAGCCCCACTGAGTAGCTTTGGTGTAATATCCAAGACCTTGCGTCTTGGACTCAGCTGCTTGTATTTTTCCCTCATGGGCAATTTGTCCATTTTTTCAGTACTACTTTCCAGAGCCCCTGCAAAACGGGCGGAATGGCCACAGAAGCAGGTACAGGGTTCCCTTGTGGTGACCTTTTTAGAGAATGTGTATATCCTCAGGGCTTAGGGAGCTTCAACATCTAGACATTTTGGATGCCCCAACTGTGGATTCCACCAATTGTTGTACTCTTCCAGCACTTTCCAGAACGGATCCTACAAACTTGGCGTTGACACACTGTGCATGGTGTGGTACCTGCCAACTCCTGACAAGGCCATGTCGTTGGGTGCTTCCACCTTAAAGCGGCATGTGCTTGCCGCTCCTTGCCTGTGCAGCCCATTCTCAGAGACCAGCTTGCATCAGGGTTCTTTGAGATGTTGACGCAGCTGAGCTGATTTGCTTAGGTGCTGGTGTCAACAAGACCTCCAGGCACGCGCCAAGCAGCTTGGGATCTGTATCATTAACGTACTGGGATGTTCAGCCAATTTAGTAAATAGGTTATAACCATGGCTATAACTGGTGTAACCGGGGTTAGTCCCCTTATAGCCATGCTTAAAGCCTACTACCGAAATTGGTTGAACACCCAAGTAATTAGCCACCCCACAGAGATTCTCAGATTCTCGGCGAAGGTGTCCCCGTATCTAGGAGCCAACCACCTGCAGTGAGCGAGTGCGAGAGACCTGCAGTCACCATGGGCTACATTCCGATGTTCTCACTTTCCGAGTTGTAGGGCTTGAAATGCTCAGATTGCCTGCGTTGGGTGCAGGCGATGAGGAATCCGAGTGTTATCCAGCTCTGTTGGGTTGATGGTGACAAATGATGGTAATCCTGTACCAGTACCTCACACTGACTAGCCCTCCGGTCATCAGGATTGGTGTTTTGGATGCCCGCTTTTGCTACTCGCGTCAGGTTCAAACCCATCCACCACAAAAAAGGGTTGTGCAAACTAGGGGCCCTGTTTGGCACTTCATTTGAAAGGCGGTATAAGGAGGCACCAGGGCCCTTCAAATGGGGTGGGGCGTATTGGTGGACAGCCCCATGTAAGCGTCTGGTTCTGAAGTCCTCATGCCAGGTTTCTAGACCTCTGCAAGTCGTCCAACTTCATGCCGCCAGCACCCTGCCTGCACTCGTGGGGTGCCATGGGGTAACAGCGCGCTTTGCATGGATGGGATGATGACCAGGCTTTGTTTCATATTCTGAGGCCACCCCAGTAGCATCAGATTTGCCGGCTGGATCATTTCGGACTTCACATTGGCAAGACCATCTTAGTGCCAGAAAAGAAGTGGACCAATCCACTCAGGCAGTGAGCTGTCATTCTGGATACTTGATGCTGGGACTCATGAATGATGCTTGGCTTTGGGAGGTTCCTTCTGCTGGTTTGTATGGCTAGCGGCCGATGGAATTTTAGACCAGCGAAGACAGTCTGTCCAAGGGGGCTGACCGGGGCAGCAATCCGACTCATGATTGTTTTCCTTGTGCAGACTAGCAAGGGGTCCAAAGTTTCCATCCACATTGACCAATGGCTTCCGGTCATTCCAACCTCGTTTTGGCAGCTTCAGCAAACGATTTGCTATTCTCGGCATGTGTGCATGTCTTTCTGCATGTTTGGTTCTGCTCAAATCCGTGGGTCTCACTTCCTGAGTTGCTGGACTTGAACTACTTGTTGGGAAGGCCATTTTAGTGGAAAACAACAAGTTTGGTTACAATCTTGGGCCCGTCCACTCGGGAAGTAACACTACCCTACACCTGTCCCTTTCTGTTAGTAAGGGGAGAAGGCATGGGGGACCGGAGCCATTTACTTTCACCCAAAACATCTTGTTCCTTGCGTTCTGCTCCCTTTTTAGTGGGGGGTTGTTCTTTGCAGCCATTTTGGAGCCGCGTTCCGCTGGACGTGAGGCGCTTCTGGTCACCTGTGACCTGGAGGAGTTGCGGACTCGCGCAGGCTGTCGGCTTCGGTTCGGGTGGGGCTGGATCCGAGGAGTTCCTTAAGCATTTCACGTTTTGAAACCACCAAAAGTGGCACTTCCAATGGAAGCCACCAGTAAATGTTCACTTTTGGAGTTCCTGGACTTGATATTTGTTGGAGCATATTTTTGGTGGCACTCAGAAAGTTTGGACTTTTGGCCCATCCACTCAGGAAGTGGGTTAAAGGATATTCTGTTGTGGCCTCGCGGTTCTCCATTGGAGGGCTCGGGGGTGCATTGGAGGGCTCGTGACCCTTAGGGAAATTAGAAGACCGAAATCAGACAAATCACCTTTACCAGGCGAGTTGGAGAATCCCTTATGAATCAACTAATTTGTTGGACGTATCCTTGAACCTGTTCAGGTGGTTGCAATGTGACATGTTCTCAGAATCACAGTTGGACGCGGTTTCACTGGGACCACCATTTTGAGGACGTTACATTGATATTAATACTTCAATAGGCTCAGCAATATTTGGACAAGTTGTAGGGCTATCATTTTATACTACAGGTTGAGCACATTTTGGGCCCCCTATCATTGTAGGATTTGTAAGTGTTGCGGGTTTCCAAATTTGCCTCCACAAAAAATGAGCGACTTTTGAAACCGATCTCTCAATGGAAGCCATGGGAGACCAGGATAGATAAGTCAGCCCTTTGGTGGGTTATTATTTGGCGGGGGGGCATTCCCCCTTCGTTCATTTAGAGTATTGTTTTTTATAATCTGTTGGTGTTTTTTTTGGGGGGGGGGCAATGGCTTCTACATTGAACAGTCCTGCTGGTTTCACTGCGACAGTTTGGGCCGGAGCGGTGGAACCCGCTTTGCCAGGCCAAAATGCTGATTGGCTGCTGGGCGCGAGCAGCACTTTGGCTGGGAACGGTGGCACGGCCGGGACCGGGGACTCCGTTTTTTGAGGCCCCCGGCCGCATTTTTCCTTGGCGCAAGCGCGGAGCAGGTGCGAAAGATGGTGTGAACGCAGAATGTTGTTTGGCCCAATATTCTACCAGAAGGCGTTTGAGGGGCATGGTTGTGGAAGACAGAGAAATTTGGAAGCTTTCTGTGATACCAAGGGGGCTCCTTTAAAGTACCTATGTACTCATAGCGATGGCCACTTTGGTATCACAGACAAGTCCATACATGACGCTGCCAGCTAGGTCGCATACCCTGGGTGGCGAACTCATCACTAGCTTCTTCCCTTACCCACGCCGAGTTCCTGCAGGACATCGGCCCGCCGGGATGTGATTGGACCTCATGTTCTGGTTTACTTGTTTTTTGCTTTGACAAGTTGGGTTATCGCCCGCCCTTTAGGAAACGAAAGCCAAACCCGGCCGGATGTTTGTGCACATCGCCTGAATTTGGGCCATGCTCGGTCCCCCGAAACGATCGACCTTTGGGGCTGATATCCCAGACCTCCAGCGTTGCCTTGTTTTCCTTTTTGTGAGGGGGGTGCCCTTTTAGAAATCAGCTACCAGCAGATGCCCCTTTGGGCAACACTCAGTCGTGAGTGAATCGACCTTTTAGACTTTGGCAACGCAGCCCTTAGTCAAAGTCCAGGTGGAGCACTGGTTTTATTACCAAGTCCCAAAGGGCGCGTTTGACTTTATGGCAGTAGACTGGCTCCTATAGAACATCCTTTGAGTTTTGAACGTTGTGGGCTGAGGTTTGTGCGTGTGAGTGTGTGTGTATGTGTGTGTGTGTGTGTGTGCCTTTTC